TTCAACCAGCAATGCTCTTGAAGAAACAGCAGCAAAGCAAACAAGACATCCAGCAAAATGGTATGAACATATCATCAAGTTTAGATGTGGTTATTTTCTATAGCCCATTGCCAGTTCTCTCCCCTGTATTTGTGGAAGGAGTGACCATTGTCTAGCTTCCACCTCACCTCCTCAATTTTCCTTGCCCTAAGCACCTTCCATTCCTCCACTTCCACCAGACCACCATGGAATTTCTTAGCATGTACACACTTACATTGACCAGTAACTTTGTGTCTGAAATTATATTGACACCCTACAACCCTTCCACTGGTCCTAATGTCCACTTTGTACAGGTCCCATTGAAATTCTGACTGGAGATGTTGGAGAGGTTCACTGTGTTGGGAGAGAGGTAGATGAGGTTCTAAATGTTAGTGACAGCAAAGCAGGAGAGGGACTTTACTCACCAACAAAGTGTTGTTCCATGTTATTGATTCGAGCACCTGTCATGTCTGCTACATGGCTTAGCTTAGGTGACAATATAGCCTCAGAATACTTACAAAGAACAATCCTTGGATGACTAGCAGCATGAGCCATCATGATAATATGACTGGCAGAAGTGAAGTGACAACCTGAGACACAGGAGAATAAGCTTTGAGGGGTGCATCTAACTTGCAGGAGGGGGATGAGGGTATCCCATTGATAATGGAGCTGTAAGTCAGCTAACGGCCAGGAGGAAGGGGAGGACAACAGGGACAGGAGGCTCACAGCAACATGGAGTGGATGATGCAGAGACATGTGACAATCCAAGATCCTGTCTTCCTTGAAGGACATGTAGCATATCAAGCAGGTATCTTGAGCATTGAGAGGGTTTTGATTGTTCTGATATCAGCTTCATGGCCAGCAATGACTTTTGACGGGAAGGAATCAAACCAGAGAAGGTATCAGTAACAATGATGACAGACGCTCATGGAATGGGGTATGATAGAGTGATAGTAAGCATGAAATCACAGGTCAAGACAGAGATGAGGAAGAGCACAAAGTGAGGGAATTCAAAGCCTGGGAGGGGGAGAGTCAATGTAGGAGAGAAGTGGAGAGGAGAGAAGAGACTTGTGGCAAGTGGAATGTAAAACCTACCATTGCAGGGTAGAAGAGTCCACTCATGTTGCAGCAAGGAAAAGTGGAAATTGTCAAATAGAAGAAGTGAGGAATGAAAATGAAGAGGAAGAAGAGTGGAGACAAGGCAGTCAGGATGCATTCTATATACCCAAGAGGGCCACAGCTTTTCACAGATGTTTCACGGATGCAGCATGTGCTGCCAAATTGATGGTTGGGGAAAGGTAGCACCCCAAAAAAATGCCATCATAAATCACAGAGAACCCATCAAGGGTTCTGGGCAGTTCATGATGGCACCCTTCTATCTTTCCACCACTGAAGGGGCTTCTTCCTCTTGGGATGATGATGGATGGATTGATTTAGCTCATTCCCCACCTCTACCATCATCTCATATCTTGTTTTAACCAATCACAGAATAACTTCCACATGACACATGCATAGATTTGGGGTCTTTGGTGAGGGCAACATGACCGGCAATAAGATCAATGCTAAAAGAGGGCCCTTCAGCGTTCAACTTAGGATAATGCATGGATTGGCTCCCCTCTCTCAGATTTTGCTGCCTTGAGGTGAGATCATCCTCCAAAGATGCATGCTAGGTGAACCATGATATGAAAGATTGTACTGTACTTACTTCTGGCAATTAGAACCAGAGTGGGGAAGAGTCGGCCAGGGATTGAGTGAACATCACACTTTACTCTTGATTCAATCCATGTCACGCCTTTCTGGCAACTTGGCGACCTATCCCACATCCGCTGGCCACCTGGCTTATTTCTCAACTGGTGATGTCAGCTCTACCAAGGTGGTCATCTTTATCGGAGGGTTGTTCTGCGGGATGCTGCAGCCGGGTTATGGGGTTCAACTCTCCAAGGCTCTTCGAGACACAGGTTGGCCTTTGTGAGTGACCCCGATTCCTCATTCACTCACTACTGCTGTCTGTGTGTAGACGTTTCTGACGAGCAGAGTGTTGATGCATTGGTCAAGTGTGTACAGGGGTTGGGGAATGGGCTGCTGGATAGGGACGTGAGGGAGATTTCCAATCTAGTAAGCCATCTTTGGGGTCAAGGTTAGTTGAGCCCACATGTATCTCCTTGTTCGTATCTTTAACCTGTGTCCTCTCTCACGATCATATCCTCCTCTACACGGAACACGGTCCCTTATTTGGCGGCGAGGGAGGAGGAGGATTCCTAGCTCACTCATGATAGGTACATCCACTATCGTTCTCATGGGTCACTCTACCAGTTCTCAGGATGTCATCCATTACTTATCGGCCTATTCTTAGACTCACACTGACACTGCATCCCTTCCCTCCCTTTCCCTGGTACAAGGCGGAATCATGCAGGCTCTGGTCAGTGACCCGGAGTACTTTGAATCGAACACCGCAAAGGGAGATGACTGGGGCTGGAGTGCTCAGCTGAAGATAGCAAGGCGACTGATAGTAAAGGGACAGAGGCAGCTGGTTCTCTATTGGAACTTTTGTCAGACTGTAGGAGGACCAGTGACGTCTTATCAACTGCATAGTCCGGTCGGAGTCGGGGGAGTTTCTCATTGACATCGATATCAGAGGCGACAATGACTATTTCTCCTCAGACCTTCCTGACACACCGGAAGATAACCCAATGAAACATAGGCACCCCCTCTCAACTTCCTTCGGTTGTCTTGCAGCCCCTGCCCTTGCCATCTACAGTGAGAGAGATGAAACCTGCCGTCTACCAGATATCTCTACCACCTTGGAATGATGGAGTTCTGCTGCTGGAGGTAAACTTGAGACCGTGATCTTGGAGGATGTGGGACACAGCTTGGATGATGAGAGAGCTCGTGACAGACTCTGTAAGCTTGTAGTTGGATGGCTAGAAACCCTCTGACGATAAGATTCACCCATGCATCTCCCACTCGGTTTACTTCCTTTGACTCCTCTCGTCACTTCTCCTACTCAGCATCCTACTGGCCAAGTATCTTGTCTTGCATCTACAAATCTACTTCAGAGATTCAGTGAAATAGCCTCCAACAAATGGAAACAGGTGCTATCGGCGGTTAACACCGGTAAACATCCCCTCCGCTCAGGGAGAAGGCAATGAGACCCTGAGTCACTTTTTTTATCAGCTTAGAGTCAACACTGGACACCCTCTTGCTTCCCACTCCCTCTTGTGTACATTACACTCGGCCAAGCAGGATGTGAAGTTGTGCGACATGTGGAGTGGGAACAACTGGTGGAGTATAATACCCCTCACTTGGTGGAACGATCTTCTCTGTCGGACAGTCATTCGAATCCCGACACCATGAAAACCAATACTTCAATTGTGCTGTCCCAGCCGGCACAACAACAATCCTTCGATCGGATATCGACTGTCGAGCCTACTCGGATCTCGAGAACAGTCCTAAATACGAAGGACATTACATCAAAGAGAAAGAAGGGCGTAGCGTCCAAAGCAAGACCCTGCATGAGTTGGGAAGAAGCGATTTGAAGACTCAAGAGAACCACAATCATGATTAGCCGGGTGTACAACAAGCAGATGCTATCACCTGAACTGGGAGTAAAACATCGTTGGGGGTGGTGTATCTTTTGTGAGTTGGAAATCGTTTTCTTTTACAAATTTGACAGGGTGACTTTGACTGACTCGTTCAGCCTGTGGCTCACCTACACTGTAAACACTTTCCAGTCTTCTATAACCGGTAATTTGACAGCCTACGAGACCATGGGGTTTGAAGAACACTCTCTCATTCCTGTCATATCTATCGTATCCAATGTCATAAGCGCAGTGGCTTATATGGTCTTCCCCAAGATACTCAACCTGTGGAATAGAAGTTATGGGTATCTTGCTTGTTGTGTTTTGGCCGAATTGGGACTGGTGTTGAGTGCTGTGTGCACAGATATCTACACCTACTGTGCTGCTCAAGTGAGTCAATATCCCTGCTTGCCCCTATCTATTTTTTCGTATGTTCTATCAGTGGCTCTTCATCCGGGATATGAATCCTACAACGGGTTCTCTCTCTCTTGTCGTCACCTACCATTTCTCTTCCTTTCGCCTGACTGGCCTAGCATCTTTGTACTATGCACCAACAGTGGTCCTGTCCTTCAGCTTGTCCTTCCTCTGCGGCTTTGACCCGTAGTCAACAGGTCAACTATGAGAGTACGGTCCACTGACTCCAGTGCAGTTACTCAGTAAAAATACCTTTCCCCCGTCCCCTTTGTCCCCTGGAGATTATTACACAATCGAACCCTTATCGCCGCTTGTGGATTATGTTTCACATGGCAAATAGCATATTACTGTTGGGCATCATAATTCACTTCATACCTTCAAGTGGTATAAGATTTATCTATCAGCCAAGCTGGTTATATAAGTTCCATCTACGATGTTATTGCTATGGATGTTACCCACCGGTCATTTAATCCGTCGAACAGGTTATTACAAATGGATCCTTCTAATTGGAGTACAGTTATACGTTTTAGGTGAAGGTTTAATGATACGTTTTCGTCCACCTGATCATTCAATAGGATGGATGATTTTCACTCAAATATTCATAGCTTTCGGTGATTCTTCTTTCACTTGTGTTGAAGAAGTAGCTGTATTAGCAGCTGGTAGTCATAATGATTCAGCTGCAATGTTAGCTTTTTTAAGTTTATTTGGTTATTATGGTGGAGCAGTTGGTAATTCTATTTCAGGTGAGATTTGGACAAACTCTTGTACAAGAATATATACCTCAAGAAACTCAAGACATTTGGGAAGAAGAAGAGTGGTGGAGATGAATTGTTAGAATGTGTTCAGGTGGCGGCATGAGTCTCAATTTTGTACATTTGTTTATTGCTAAGATACCAGGACTGGCCCTAGAACCCCTGTCTGGACTGACTCAGGGTTCATATTGTAAACAAGTCATTGCATAAAAAAGTCAGCACTCCAATCTTTGAAAGTCTTTGGCCAAAAATGTGGTTATATACTGGCTTTCATCCGGCACTATACGGAGTTACTCTCCCAGCAGCACCCCTAAATGACCAGAGAATCTCTGACACTTCAAGCCACAGGGGTGAGCTCATATTAACCACTGAAAGGTGGCGCCTATTGACTGCCATATTTGAGATCTCCTATCCACTGAGGTAGGAAATGTGTTCGATTCCTGGAGGGAACACTATTGGTTGACTTTTAGTTTTTCTTCCTTCTTTGTAGGACTCACTCAGCTGGATCTGTACAAAGTCTTCCTCCATGAGATATCATTTATCTCTATCAGTCAAGTGTAATGGAATTGTTAAGGGCTCTGAGACTTACAACCTTGCACATATTGATGATTTCCCAGTATTCTGAAACATGTACAACAAGTTTACCAGACTCTAATCTGTTCAACTCTTCCCAGATAACAAAGAAAAGACCATCATTTGTCACTATTCTTTCTACCCTCCTCTCAGCTGTCACCAACCTGATCCTCTTTTTGGGGATGATATCTTCTAGTCCAAACAAAACTTCCTACCTGACTGACTTCTTCAACGACCCAAGTAGCCTCCTGATACCCTCATGAGTGGTGAAGTTAATGAAATGTTATACGACATGAACCCTGAGTCAGTGAGAAGTATACTGAGACAGAGACCAATCAGCAGAAATTACTCCTGCTAACTAATGGGCACCGGTCATAACATACTCTGTCTCACACTGTTTTAATTCAACAATACCTTACATGGTTATGGAACCAAGAAACTGATTCCTGCAGGTTGTTGCTCGGGAAGATCTTCAAACCTTCCTTTGGATGTCTTACTACGCCTGTCTTTCATACCTTGAATATAGGAGAAAAGTTGGCAAAAGTTGGCAAAAGTTGGCAGAAGTTGGCAGAAGCTGGCAGGGGTAAATCTTTGACTTACTCAGTTAGCCAAGGCTTGCTGGCAACCCATTTAAACCAGTTTTTTTGAAGTGTTTTGTGCTGTTCATTCATAGTTTACTCCTGTTCATACTGCTGCAGTGACACATTCTTATCAACAGTGTTCCTTGCTTGAGGAGCAACATAAGGAACTTTCCATAGTGTGTGAGGGTTCTGTTTGGGATGACGAGGCACATTGATTGTTACAAAAGTTTTGATAAAACAACAAGAACTAAGCTGAGTGGTAAGATGATGCCAATAGTTAAAGTGCAAAACTTTTGGCACTGATATGACTACTAATGCATTTGAAAACCCATGTTGTATAAGTGAAGTATGATTGGCTCTGTTGACATGTATAACTGCAGTTATTGGACATAGCCTTGCTAATGGCATTAGGAACTGCAAGGGGATGCATTAGGATTCAATCTCTGAGGTGCTGTCACAAACTGTGTTGTAACATCCCTGACAACCACCACCACCTACCCTCCTTGCACCATCAGCCATCAACCACCATCACCTGAACCACTGAGACCAACTATGACGAGGTTACGAGAAGCCAGGAGTTATTTGTCACGACAACACCGCCAAAAGGAGAACTATGGCAAAGTTAGGAGAAGGGAACTGAATGAGAGCAGAGTAGGGGGAGTTAGGCGAAGTTAGTAGAAGTGAGTGGAGTAGAGTATTAGGGATATGGCAAGGTACATCTAAGTTGAGAGAGGAGGACAAAGCGTGAGGCTGTGCAGGGGTTGAAGGACTTCCTATGAGAAGAGAGGAGAAGTATAGATAGTTCTCAAATTGCTCAACTTCATGAGAGATCCTTGATTATTGTCAGTAGTGAGAGATATATTCAGTAGCTACAACCATCAAGTTTGGGAGAGCTACCACAGAGCAGTTCGACTCCACTACATCACAGTTAGCCTCAGTACATCGACAATCACCTTATCATTTACCACTAGACATATTACCTTGGCAATGTTAGCTTAAGTTCTCATGTCAAGTACCCTGTCCTAGTGAGACATCAACACCCCACTATGACATTGTTAGCCAAGGTTTGTCTACAGTCAGTCCTTAGAGAAGAAGAAACAATGATTGTGACAGGTGTGGGACAGTTGCCTCAAGTGGCAGTTTTTGTCGGACGGGCTGTGTCAGAGCGATGGCAAATTTTGGCTGATGTGTCTGAGGGGACCCCCATATAATGATACTAAGATCATTGATGCTAAGCTGATGTCCAAAGGACCCTCATTTGAGTCATGTATGTATGTATGTATGTATGTATGTATGTATGTATGTATGTATGTATGTATGTATGTACTAGCGTGCCAACCTGTCAAATTGACAGGCCCGTCTCTCGCCTCTCAAGCTGACTCTGTGGACCCGTGGAATCTCTACCTCTCTTCTCTCTCACACACACTTTTGACCCGTGAACCTGTGAACCTCTATTGTGTCTCTCTCTCTTGATTCCTTGCTCCCCCCCCCCTCTTTATCCTCGCTTCGCTCTGCGGGCGTCGCCGCTAGCCACGTGGTTTGTCTCCACGTGGTTTATCTCGTGTTTGTCTATTATTGTAGTAGATGTATGTATGTATGTATGAATGTATGTATGTATGAATCTATGTATGTATGTATGAATGTATGAATGTATGTATGTATGAATCTATGTATGTATGTATGAATGTATGAATGTATGTATGTATGCATGTATGTATGAATTGTGATAAGAAATCTTGACTAATGCTGACAACTGTGATGCTGAGCTGATATCCCTTTGAAAGGACGCTCATTTGATGTCCAAAGGACCCTCATTTGATGTCCAAAGGACCCTCATTTGAGTCATGTATGAATGCATGTATGTATGTATGCATGTATGTATGTGTATGTATGAATGCATGTATGTATGTATGTATGCATGTATGTATGTGCATGTATGCATGTATGTATGTATGCATGCATGTATGTATGCATGTATGTGTGTGTATGTATGTATGCATGTATGTATGTATGCATGTATGTGTGTGTATGTATGCATGTATGTATGTATGTGTATGTATGTATGTATGTGTATGTATGCATGTATGTATGTATGTATGTATGTATGTATGTATGAATTGTGATAAGGAATTGTGACTAATGCTGAGAACTGTGATAAGGATTGAGAGAAAAGGTGACTCATTGATTTCACCGATAGCAGTGAGGTATTTCCCTGATTGGTTGTCATCAGTTTCCAGTGTTACTCACACCTGGAGGCATTTATGTGATTGGCTGGATGAAGTTTCCCACGGTAAGCACACATTCTTTATTTAGTACACCTAGTTTGGTTTTGAAGAGTACAAAAGGCTCACCTCTCCCCCCTTCTTCTTCAGTCTTCCTCATCATTTTCAAAAACTCAAATCTCTTCAAACAATTTCTATCATGGTCAGTCTCTACTGCTTCTTCCATAACATTGAGAAACACTGACATACAGATGCCAACTGAAGAAGGTCCACTGGCAGATGCTCTTAACAGAGCTCTTTTTGAACCAGAAGCTAAGTCAAATCAAGAGTTTATCAAGAAGGCAAAGTAAGTCTGACTTCCATCTCTTTATAACACTGACACATAGAAAGTTGATTATGATGGTTGATAAGTTGGAGAAGAAGAATATGGTTATGTTTCCTGGATGGGCTGGTCCTGGAAAGCCAAGGCCTTGTGAAGTCTTCAGGAAGGCTCTGGAGGAAGCTAAAGAGGCTGGTGATAAACTCCTGTTGAACTGAAGTACAATGAAAGTCTCTATGGTTGCATGCATGCAATGATGCCTGCCAGCAAGTAGATTTGGTCCCCAGATTTCTTCTTCCATCCCTTTAACAGTGCTGACCTACAAGTGTTACTTGCTGACATCTCTCATGTCATGATTTTGGTTGTTAATCAGGTGCCAGCAGGCTAATTTGGTTCCAACTCCCAACATTGGTGAAAGGAGGTATCACATCTCTCTCATCCTCATCACACTTCTAGGGATGAGTCAGAATCACATGCATTACAACAAAATAATTTCGACTGAATCAGAAAGGTGATAAGGCTTCAGTATCCAGGGATGCTTAGCCTCAGTTTCCAAAATAGAGCTGACAATTTCGTTTCACAAGTCTAGTCACCACTCTCATTCCCCCATCCCATTAGTGTGCCTGAGTCATATTGTCATGTTTCTCTAGCATGATGGATGAGCACATCAGATTCTGGAGCCCCAAAATGTGTGATTTTAGGGCTTTTATCAACACCCTGATCTTCTCAAAACTCAGAGTAGTGTGGCTTGACAGGTCTGACACTATGCAGGTGTACCTCGAGCTGCAGCCATGGTCAGTGCTCCGTTCCTGGTCATCAAGGTATCATTCCAGAGCCCAAAAAAAACATGATTTCAGCCCTTTTCTAAAAGTTAGGAAACTCCCAATCCTCAGGGTTCATTGTGACTCGACAGATCTGACACTAGGTGGGTGTACCTGAAGCTGCAGCCATGGTCAGGGCTCCGTTCCTGGTCTTCAAGGTACCAATCCGGAGCTTCAGGAAAAGCAATTTCGGCGCTTTTTTCAAACCTTGGAAACTCCCAAAACTCAGGGTTCAGTGTGGCTCGACAGATCTGACACTAGGTGGGTGTACCTGAAGCTGCAGCCATGGTCGGGGCTCCGTTCCTGGTCGTCAAGGTACCAATCCGGAGCCCCAAGAAACGCGATTTCAGCGCTTTTTTGAAACCTTGGAAACTCCCAAAACTCAGGGTTCAGTGTGGCTCGACAGATCTGACACTAGGTGGGTGTACCTGAAGCTGCAGCCATGGTCAGGGCTCCGTTCCTGGTCGTCAAGGTACCAATCCGGAGCCCCAAAAAACGCGATTTCAGCGCTTTTTTGAAACCTTGGAAACTCTCAAAACTCAGGGTTCAGTGTGGCTCGACAGATCTGACACTAGGTATGTGTACCTGAAGCTGCAGCCATGGTCAGGGCTCCGTTCCTGGTCGTCAAGGTACCAATCCGGAGCCCCAAGAAACGCAATTTCAGCGCTTTTTTGAAACCTTGGAAACTCTCAAAACTCATGGTTCAGTGTGGCTGGACAGATTTGACACTAGGTGGGTGTACCTCAAGCTGCAGCCATGGTCAGGGCTCCGTTCCTGGTCGTCAAGGTACCAATCCGGAGCCCCAAAAGAAGCGATTTCAGGGCTCTTTTGAAACCTTGGAAACTCTCAAAACTCAGGGTTCAGTGTGGCTTGACAGATGTGACACTAATACCTTGTGGAGCAATGACTGATAATGATAGACATTTTTTTCAAAGCCTGAGATTCTCCTCATCCACAGAGTAGTAGGTATCTGAGCATCACCATCATTCGCCTGTAATGGGTCAAGCTGTGAGGCTCTTTGGATATCCCCCACTCATCTCTGATGCTGGATCCTTCATGAAAACATACTTCAAGTCAGTAGTTTGTCATTTCCACTTCAATGATCTCACTTTTAGTCTACCTTCTGTTATCATTGGAAGACTGGCATCATCCCTACCACACTGAATGATGCATAGTCACTTCAATCCTGAGCCATAATGTGAATGCTCAATCTTTGTGCAAGCACAATATGCCCTCAAGAGGACAGTCACATTGAGCACATGACATACCTTGACCTTTGCCAAAGTGGATTCCAGGAGGATTGGTATGAGAATTGTGAGAAGGAAATGCATGTTCAAGATCATGACTACACTTTGCAGCCACTCAAGTTCAATGAAGTTTGAGTGCATTGATAGCTCCAAGGACTCCATCAATAGCCAACATCAACCTGTGCCTGTCAAAGTCCACATAGTAGGTTTGCTGGTTTGCATCAAATTGTAGCACCATATCAACTAGTGGCCTGATTGTCAGAAATGAGCAATGCTGACAGATGAAAACACTGACTTGATACTCTCCAGAAGTATTTTGGTGGACTCACTCCACTCTGAACAGGAGACTGCAATGAAGAGGTCTGGAACCTGTGGATTCTGAGAGGAAGTCAAATCTGGTGATGAGCAACTGTGTGTAGAGAGACATGACTCACCTTTGAGAACATCATTATCTGGAGAGATGTAATGGGCTACAGCCCACCAGCCAGCCTGAAGGCTACAATGAAATTGATCCAACTGGTGGTATCTGGTACTAATCATACCCCAAAAGAGGATCTGATCATGGTCTGCTAGGTTCTGAACCAGAGACAGAAAGTTACTGAGAGTCAGGTGAGAATGACCAGAAAGCTCACCCTGCTTCCTTGACAAGATTATCAGCAGTGTCAAACTCTGGGAGGATGAGTGATTCTACCAGAACATTGATGATTGGGTTGGAGTTGAGCTGAGCTGACATGCCTGACATCAGCCTGAAGGTACTAAGCTTAGAGAAAATTATGACTTTGTGAGTCTTCAGCTGATGACAGGTTTTGAAAGTACTGACCTGGAGGGATGAATTGAACAGTGGTGGGTGAAGAGTGAAGTGTTAAAAGATGAAAGTGAAAAGTACAGAAGGAAAAAGGATGAGAAGAGGAGAGCACAGCATTCAGGAGCAGCTCCCTGAGCCAATTGATGGTGGCTTGAGCACCCTGGCAGGGGTCATGTTGCAAAAACACCATAGTGGGGAGAAGAGTGATGTCTGTTCAAGGAAGGAGAGCACAGCATTCAGGAGCAGCTTCCCTGAGCCAATTGATGGTGGCTTGAGGACCCTGGCAGGGGTCAAGTGGTAAGAAAAACAAAGTGGGGAGAAGTGTGATGGCTATTCAGGGAATGTGAGGGATTTCTCTGATTGGTAGAGAAATCCCTCAGTCTTGAAGTGAAGAGACTAAAATTTTCTGAAAAGGAGGAGACTGCTCAGTCTATCCTTATTCTTTTTTCTCTTCACCATTTCTTTCCTCTGCTTACTCAGTAATACCAAGCTCAAACAACTTAGAACCAAGTATGTCAGCACCAAGTGGCCAAAGATTTATCCCAACTCAGCCAAAAGTATGTCCTCCCTTATCTGCCAGGCTGATGAGCTCAGATTGATCTGAAAACCTATCAAAGTTGTGACCAGTATACTGAGAATACCCATCAACCAGTGAGTTGCCCTCTATGTTTGAGGCAGTGACTGATCTACTTGTTGCCCTGCCATGATTGCCAGAAGATTTGGGGAGACAAGATTGGCTACATCACTCATATGATCTCACAGCACCCAGGGAAGTTGAAGGAATGTGATTTTCCAGGCTGTGAGGAGAGAGTTGTGGGACAGAGTGCTTTGGATAGGCACAAGGACCAGTTGAGTCATTGGATTGTAAGTTGCTTGCTTCACAATTTCTGTGTGGCATTCACTGATTATGCAGCCTGGGGGATTCAAGTGCAAACAGTGCTCAGCAGCCTTTGACAGACCATATCAGCTATCTTTCCATAGGCAAGAAACTCATGGTGTCAGGGTGAGTGAGAAACATGGGATCAACTGACAGAGAAAGGGATTGAGCTCCTGGTCTGTCTGTACTATGTGTGAACCTCATGGTTTGCTAGCTTTGGGGGACATGAGAGTACACAAGCACTCTGTTCATGGGGAGGAGTACTGGGGTCTGCCTAGTGGGACAGTTAAGGTCTCCAATCCTGTGGTGAGTGAACATGAACTGATGGGTTTTGGCTGAAGGTGCAGTTAAGCAACCCCAAAGATTGCACTAGCTGTCCTGCAAGCTTTCAAAGCAGCACCCAGTGGAAGAAGCATCTGGAGCAAGCTCATACCAATGAACTGCAGGTAAGTCAAAACTCTCCCAGCCAAACTGATTTCTCAGATTTTCTTCCAGGAAGGTGAAGAAGTCACAGTCAGCAGGGAAAATGAAAATCTTCCCTTCCAGTGTCCAGATGAGTCCTGTCCTGTTGGATCCCTCACCCTTCTACCTCACAGTATGATTCAACATGCCATTACCCATCCCTACAGGAGGCTCCCCAAGAAAGTGACTCCCAAGATGAGGAAAGCCATGGATAGGATGTGGGAAGGAGCCTACAGCAGGTATAATCATCACAGGGCAAAGAAGAATAGAGACATCAAGGAGGGATGGGATGCCCAAGACACAAGGTGGAAGTTCCTGTCTATGAAGATGAAGGAGAAGAATTCAAAGAGGGTGAGGATGAGGTTGGAGACACAGGAATAGATAGTAGTGATCATGCAATAAGTTGACTGTGATGCTGTGCAGGCCAAATAAGTCATATCATATGAAGGCTGGCATCTCTGACTGACTTTACACATAGCAGCAATTGAGTCTCCATGTTGTCCTCTGTCACTGACTTGATGGAATGGTTCAATGTGTGAGAGAGAAGGTGGCCATCCTTTGCACTGATGGTGTTCCTGACTTCAAAGGATGCAGTTCTGACCATGTGGTATATCAGGGACAAACAACCCCTTTTGATATTGGAAAGTCTTCATGGCTGAGTGGTTTGTCAGTGATCATCTGAGATGCATTAAAGGACAACAGGGCATACTATAACTCCCAGAAGTGGGAGGTAAGGCCCCCTCACAAACCCCCCAGCCCTGATCCTCTCTACTCTACCCAACCTCTCCAAATCCTTTTGCTCTGTCTCTTTTTACCTTCTGAAGCCTGCCTTATGCATCAGCCTCACCCATCCAACCTTTTGCAGGTGGCAATGACAGAGGGGACCCCATTGCAAAAAGAACTCTGTAACCCACACAACCAGATTATCACCAGACAGAGTGTTTATACTTTCCTGACTGGTATGAAAGGGCAGCAGTCAATGCATACTCTACTCAAGTCTCCTTGCTAGGAACATGGGCAACTTCTCCACATGGCCTTCACCAACCTCTAGGTAAAGATCTCTGAAGAAAGACTCCATAGCATAACTCCCTCCCTGGTTCTGCAAGTTCCACATCTTCTCCATCAAGTCCTCTACTGACATAATCCTCTGAGGGTATGGAGTCATTCCAACCCTTGATGCTTTACTCCTGATCAGATGGATGACTTCCAACCTGAGTAAGAGAATGTGGATATGGGCCATAGAGACACAGCAGACTCCATCTGGACTTTGATGAATACTTTGAGGAGAGAATATAAGGCTTGGGGGGAATACCAAGGGAATGGGGTCTGCTGAATGAGTTCCCTCTGACAGGTTTGGAAGGATCACCCACATCTCGTAGAGAAACTACCCATGAACTCCAACAACTCCTCTTGAGTTATGGTAACCATTCCTGTAATCCATATCACAGGACTGACATGGGACACTGCTCTTGTGAACTTGATCAAAGACTCAGTCAACTGCTGGCAGGTGATTACTGTGGTTAGCTCTGATGTGCACTATGTCACTCACTCCTTGACATCTTCACAAAGCTTGAGTATAGAGCAACCAAGAAGGAATGTCAGATGATTGGGAAGAAGAGAACAAAAGAGGCTCTCACTCTCTGAGTCTGTCTGCCTTTATCTGAGAACCCCATTTAAACACCCAATCCCCTGTTGTCTCCTGTGAATTGCTTTGATTACAGAACCCACTCCCTTGGAATCAACTTCAACAAGTAGCCCAAATCTGTCATACCAGCATACATACCATGAACACAGCTGGCAGTGGCACAGAAGTGAGCATCCCTGGTGCAAAAGTCAAAGCTGATGGCTCAAGGGGTTGAATGTACCTCTGAAGGCAAAGTACAAATGTCAGTATGGGTTATGCTGCCATGAAGAACAGAACCAGCTGGCAATGGACCACCATAGGGACATCTGCAATCACTGGGTGGTGAGTTCTTAGGGGTGAACAGGGCTGACTTTGTAGAGGAGGAGGTTTCCTTGTAACACACAGAACTGCTCTCAAAGATTTGATAGGCCTTACCAGCTGGCCTTTCACAAGAAGGTAGAACATGGGACAAAGGTGAGTGAGGGAAATGTGTTTATCTGACTGGCAGTACAAGCCCAGTCATCAAGTCTGCCACCTCTGTGATCCCAAAGGACTTCTGAAAAGGTCAGCTTACCTGATGCATATGGAAAGCAGCCATGGAATCTCTGAAGAAGAGCTGGTAAGCTGAGTTCACCACATATCCCAAAGGCTAACAGCTGCAGATATTGAATGGCAAGCCAAAGGAAAAACCTGCCTGAGAGTACCTAGCAACACCTACTCCTGGGGAATCAAGGGAAGGATATGTGCACTGAGATGACTGATGGTCAGCAGTGGATGAGTGGACAAGGCAGATGAGCTGTGTGTTGGGACAGCTGAAATGGAAGATAATCACACATGATGCATACTTCACATTTTGATCTCCATTGACATCAATATGTAATAGCCCAGCCTGGAGGCATGTCCATCTGGAACATGCTGGTACATTGCCAAGAAGAATTGTGACACTGCTTGCACACCTCTCTTCTCCATGAGCCTCCACAGATAGTCTTGGATGTCAAAAGGGTCTATATGATGAAGGGAATGAGTGGCTCCCACAAGCTCACACCAGTCTCTAAATGTAGCAATTATTTCTAACCTTAGAAGGAGGAGCCTGACATGGGCAAGTAAGGGGACATTGGGTGAACCTGGTAGGGAGACATAGTCCATTGGTCAGCTCCCTCTGGGCAGATCAGGCAAGGACTCACAGAATCTTTCTTCCAGAGTTTGCTCCACCCATTCCAGCAGGATAGCCAAGCAGAACTCAGTGTCAAAGTCATTCAGGCATGGCAGGCCAGAGGTAGACAAAACTGCCTCATGGAAAGTGACCCAGCCCAGTTCCATCCTTGTGACATCTGATGTCAGTATTGAATGATCAAAGGAGACCTGGAATGGAACTCACATTTGCCAGTCCTGTTTGGCTTGACCAGGGTGTTTACTGCGTAATAATGGGGCATGACAGCTTTGGAGCAATGAAAGTGCCTGTAGGAAGGAGAGTGACAGCAAGAGAGAGAGACTGTGGGAAAGAAAGAAAGCAAATTTGAGATGGTGCCACTCCCTGGGGACAAAATTGAACAAAGTATTTTTCTTTCATTCATTTTTGATGGAGTCAAATTCTACTGGATACTTGCTGAGGAACAGAGTTAGCAAGGATGAGCTGGAGGATGGACAGAAAAGTTGAGTGCAGCTGAAGCAATCCAGATTCATGTCTCCTACAATCCTATAGGGCTGTGCAGTGGTCACTACCAGATCAACTGGAACCTGTTCAGTCTGACCTCCAAATAGAGAGGGAGTCTCTCAAGATCCCCATCAGGAACAACTATGTACAAGTCATAGAAAAAAGACTGAATACCCCTGTGTCCCTCCTCCACAAACAAACACCACAACTGGTAGAGAAGATGCTTGGTCCTGACAATTCTTGCTGGTATAGGAACTGCTCCCAAGGCAGTAGCCTTGGTTCTGATGAGGTGAATGGCTTCCAGCCTGAGGCAGAGAGTCTTGATATGGCGCTTAAGTCGGCAGCAGGATCCTCCTTGCACCCCATGGTTGTCACCAGAGAAGAGGAGGAAGTTTGGGATCTGTCTGAGGGGTGGCCACTCTGTTGGTCAGCATGAGACAGCACACTAAGCACTCACCCATTCCAGAAAGATCAGGCAAAGCCAACACCAATTCTGCCCAGGTGATGGTAATTCCTCCAGTGGTCCAGACATAGGGGGAGATTGTGAGGATATTGTTGTGAAAGTGGTCATGGAGGTGGGTCCAGAGTTGACATGTCAGGACTGCTGTCAATACTGGACATAGCTCACTCCAAACTGCGGGGCACTCACTTGTTTGGTTTGGCATTTTTGCTTGGGTGATAGAAAGTGTCTTCCTGAAAGAGAAGTGTGTGGTAGAAATGTAAGGGATATGAGAACTGTGATGACTGTAAAGAGTGAGATGGATGGGAAGGAGGAGACAGATGGAAACACAACTGGGTGATTAAAATTTGCCAACAATTCCCAGACATTTATCCGAAACCTGCATTGGGTCTGGCAGTAAAATGCTTTGGTTTACTGAACTGTACCAAATGTGACTTGGCAGCTGTGCTTCATTGTCAACATCTAAAATGGTGTTGGAGTGGTGAATTTGATGCATGAGAGATAATATGGTATCAACTACTGATTGTGGATTTTGATGGTCACTCCAGAGCACAGCCTGGCCACCATACCCAGAGGCTCTCCTTTTTTCACAAACTGGTGGAGATCATGTATTTTCTCCCTGATATAAGCCCCAGCCTCCATCTTTCCAATCCCTACATGCAAGTTGTAACACCATTTCACAAAGCTGTCCATGATGTCTCCTTCCACTTCAAGGATCCCCTGTCTGACAGCCCATTTCATTACATCTTGGATGACCAAAAGTCTCTGAAGGATGGTTGCTAGATGGACCTTCAAGGGGATGTATGGGGTGTATTTATCTTGGGGCCATCCTTGAACTGGGGTCAGCTGAGTAGTGAGGTAAGTGCTAATGCTCACCTCTGATCCAGGCATTGTAGAAGTTTGCTCTATGTTGGAGTTGGGTTGGACTGAACAGAAGTGGACAGTTCTTGAGCCACCCTATGTGGTTGTCATATAGCAGGTTGGCTTGCAGGGAGAGATGTCCTTGGTCTAGAGGGTGTTCTGAAGGTCAGCTGGTGTTGGGGTGGAAGGTCAGCTGGTGTTGGGGTGGCTGACTTACTGGATGGAGGGAGCTGCCTGTCCATCACTGGGATGCTTGCCAATCTTTGCCAGTCACTGTAGTGGCTATCCTTCTCCACCCAATCAGAGATTCCTTGAGACAGACACATGGTGTGCTTGAAGTTTTGACCAGACAGTGAAGATGTTCAGAATTGGACGGAGAGAGACAAGGATGAAGTGAGGAGGGAGACTGTGAAAGTGGAGAGCAATAGAGTCCAGAAAGAGTTGATGTGGAAGTGGAAAGTGATGATAGGTAGCCTGAATGAGAAAGTGAAAGTCATTTGAGGGTATGAAAGTTGAAATGATGAATGACAAGAGAGTAAAGGACAGATGATTAAGATTTTAAAGAAAACTGCCTGGCCAGGATAAATTCCACAAAACAAAACAAAGATTATACCTTCTGGCCTAGAACCTTCCTTTGTTGAGAACTCTGCTGATAAGCCAGTCCACAGCATACCACATATTCAGAATCCCTCCTGGACCTTCCATGTCATTCAACCAAGTTTGCCAACCCTTCAGATCCTCAACAACACCTTTCAGCTGCAGCCCCTCCTTCATCCCTTCTGGATCAACTTCAAAGACTGAGAGGAGCATTTCCGGTATCATGGAAGGAAACAGGCACTTGTGCTCATGGTGGTAGAGGTAGTCCCCAAAAGGCTTTGGTAACCAGCAGGTGAAGCAGAGTTTTCTTGGTGGAAATTGGAAACTGTTTTTCCATGGTTGAGAGTGGAGGAAAAACCAGTCTTCAGGCAGATTGGGACAAACAAAGAGAGGATGTTTGTCATAGACACCAGAAGCAAGGCATCTTGGACAGGCCCATTCCACTTTCTTGATCTTGTGACGGAGTTCCTCCTTGAATTGTTTTACTTGAGCTTCTTTGGAGAGCTGGGAGACCGAGTCTCTTCTGATGGACTGGCTGGATGTCATGAGGGGGCTGCTGCTGGCTGGTGTGGATGAGGGTCCTCTCTTTGGGAGGAGAGAGAGTAGGGTAGTGTTCCCCTTTTGAGATGGTGTAGGAGTTTCAGGTGTCTTCATTGATGGCAAGGGTGGGGCGGGACCCTTGAACATTGACAAAGTCTGTCTTGAGGTCAAGGGAAGGGAGGACTGCTGGAAGGACAGGATTGAGGGTGGGAGAAAGGGAGAGGGCCCACACCGGCTGCAACTCATGGCACCATCCAACTGCTCACAATCCACCTGCTGTTCATCCATGAACAAGCTGAGTCCCTTCCTCAAACAGTCCTTGCCCTCTAACCATTCCTTCAGCTGCCTGAGTCCCACCTGATCCCTGCCCCACCTCTGCTGCCTGATTATATGACACCAGGACTCCTGTCCCCTTCTCCCAACTCTGCCCATTTCCTGAACAGCATCTACAAAGCTGCTGGGCTCACCCACATGTATGGTTGCTCTGACCATGGGGAGATCCATTCCAGCTCCCAAGCCACTTGTACAGCACAGCACCTGTCCTCTTGTGCCACTGGCAAAGTCTTGCAAAACCTGGTTTCTGTCCTCTCTGCCTGCATGATGATAGTCACATCCAAGGCTTTGTGCCATGGTTTCACTCTCTGCATGTGTCTTGCAAAACACCAGTATTTGATCATCTTCATTGAGTTTCGGTAAAATCATCTTCACAGAGTCCTGCAGTTGTTGGACCCTATTTGAGGAGGTGGTTGGGCTTGAGGATACTGAATAATGAACTTCAGGTCTGTTGGTGGCTGTTCGATGGCAGGTGATCTGGCTGAGATGGAACTTCTGGAGGAGGTCATTGGTGCAGGATGGGGGGCAGGTTGCTGTTATGAGAACTTTTGGGACTGGGAACTGCTTGAAAGTCTCCAATTGAAACATGACTGATCGATAGGATGAGGAGGTGAGGGCTAGATGTGCTTCTTCAAAAACAATTCTAGCCTGGGATCAGCTCAGGTCTCTCTCTGTCAAACTCACTAGATGATCCACCCCCCTCAGCCATGAACAGAACTCCTCAGACACTCCCACCTCCACTGAAACTATCACAAGCCTCTCATGGGCAGCCATTCTTGGCTTCCACTCAACAGCCCTGAATCCACACTTAGAAGCCTTGGCCATCAAGTCTCTCAGCAGGGCTCTCAGTGGAACAATGATCACTGTCATCTTGCCATTTTCCCTCCCTGAAAGCAGTGGGACCATCCAGAAACATGTCTTTCCAGCAGATGTAGGCCCAATCAACAGTAGATTCTTTCCCCCCTGTGCCACCATCTCACAACCTTCCTCCTGCCATTGGTTTCTCCATGTAGCATCAGGCCCAAACATTCTTTTCAAACCTGTGAGCATGCTGCTTCTGAGGCTTGTTGAAGAGCTGGTGTCGTCGGTGTCCTTGGAAGACTCTACTGGAGTAGAAGACTGAATGGAAGGCAGACTGGGGCAGGTGGGAAGAGGCTCTGAGGATGATGATGTATTGTCCTCACTTTGTGCTTGTCTGATCTGAAGTCTTTTGAATAACCTCCCTTCCAATTCTGACAACATTCCCTGATGGCTTTCTGCAAGTCTCTCTACCACCTGCCCAAGTATTTTGTCCACAGCTTTGTCCATGGCTTGCTCCAGGCTTTGGCTTGAGATCTGTTTTGATGCCTGGGCAGGTGCTGGGGTTTTGACTTCCTGGGGATAGCTTTCCTCCTTGTTCTCCTCAAGGTATCCTCCATCCTCCATTGGACCCCCTTCTACTGGATATCCCATCAGAGACTGCCATTCCATGCTGGATTGGTGGAACAGCAGAAATGTGGAATCCCCCATGGCCATGATGTCCTCCCTGTCCAGCGCATAATGTTGCTCAGCAGTCCTGGTGCTGTGTCCAGCCTGCAGATCCTGCACTGTGTCCCCATGTTCCAACGCATGTCTGATGTTCTTGGCCTTGAAGATGGCTATTGAAGCATGTCTCCAAGTTGAGGGGTTGAGTCTGGTTTTGCAGTATGTGAAGGTGGTGGTGGAGAGAAGGGAGGAAAAGTAATCGGCCTCCCATCGCTTTCCTCTGCTGCAGAACAGATAGGTCGCATGGACTTTGGCTCCTTCTGGGTTGTTCAAGTGGTTGAGGATAAAGCATTCAAACGGTCTGACATAGGCTAGATAAATGGTCAAGATGAGGGACAGGGATATGGGAAGGAATCTGGGGATTGTCTGGGAGATCAGCTGAGGTACCATTTCAACAGTGAAAGCTCACTTTGTCTGAGGAGGTTTGATTGGATCCCTTGTGATATCTTGATACCAGGACTATTCTCCCATTGATGAAGAAGACATTCCTCTGTCCCAAGCTGTTACTGATCTTGTGAACCATAAGTTCAGTCCTTCTTGCTGGTGCCCCATAGGTGAGATGGATAAGGACAGCCAGCTTGTCCATGAAGGAAGCACACTTTTGGAGATACTGGTGAAGCTGGTCCACTCTCCATAAGGGCACTTTGTCTAGGAGACCTTGGGTGAATACCACTGACAGTCAGCTCATGGCAGTCCTCAAGATACAGCATACCTGATTGTTCCTCATCTTCCAATATATGCTGCACCAACCTCCACCTGCTTGCCTTGAATGGGTTGGTCTCCTCTTCCACAAAATTATATCCCCCTTCATCCAGACTTGGATGGTCCACAATCTCCCCCAATGGAGGGCAGGGAAAATGTGCCAGTGGCAGATTGAGGAGAAGGTTTTCTTCAAAGTATTCAGTCATGTCCTTTTCCAGCCTGTGAATGCCCTCCTTGAGGTTCTCCAATTCCAGTCTCTCACCATTCACCACCAAAAGGGTCTTCTGTGTGTTCCTCCAGTACACATTTGGCAGGTCTGGCTGACTGAATGCCATGTGGTTGATGAGGGCCTTGCTGGACAGCAGTGATGAGAATGGTGATAGTCTACCTGCATGGAGAACTGAGACCTCCTGTCTGATCAGACTGGCTGTCAGTGACACTCAGCTGGGAGTGGTAAATCTCACCTCTCCAACTCCTCACTAGAGAGCCAGTCTCCCTCCTCGTCCAACCTGGCTTGAATTTGTCTCATTACAACTCCTTTGAACCCCCATTGAAGCATTGCCAGCTTGGGGGTCATGTCCCTTGGTCCACAGAAATGTCCATCTGGTAGGAGGTTGACTAGGGTGTGGAAACAGATGAGAGCATACTGGTGTGGATCCCTGACAGCTTGAGGAGGAGAGAATGTGAGGAGTGAGTGTGCCAGAGCATGGAAGATGGGGTTGAACCTTTCCTGGTCTTCTCCATCTTCAAGGACCAAGTGGAGATCTTGACAAAATGCTTGCTGTTGAGAGGTGAGGGGAAGCACATAGGAAGGGTGATCTCCCTTTACCACTCTGAGCAGGAAACAGAACAGCCTGCTGAAAAAGGTTGTGTATTTCTGGAAGCTTTCAGGGTTCTGCAGTGCTTTGTAAGGATCATGGTTGTATCTGGAATCAGCTTGTGCCAAGTCAAGGACATGACTGACTGCTCTGGTGTCTCACTGTTCAACCACTGGAGGATCACCTCATTTGGAGTCTTCTTGACAACCTCCTCCACCTCTTTGAAATACCCCTTGACCATTCTCTTCAGCATGTGAAGATGCTCTTCATCCACCCTGGGCCCAGCTACCAAACTGGAAAGCAGTACTGGATCATGCCCCTCCACATGTCTCATCCACCCAAGCCTCCTCATCAATGGAGAATACTCCTTCTCTCCCAAAGCCTCAATGGGTTGTGTCTTGGGCTGAGGAGGTAGAGATTGCAGGAATCTGGAGTAGAGTGTGTCTCCCACAATAGCATGGTCTGGTTGTTGAACTGGGAAGAATACCCTGGTCCCTTGAGAGTATAGACACTGTAGCTGGGTGTTTGAGGAATGATCCTTGTAAGGGTTGCCTTTGTGTTGTCTGGAAAAGTGGTTTTTCATGGTGTTGAGAGCAGGACAGCAGAATCTGCAGAGATGACATGAAAACCCCTCTTGGATGGGGAGTAAAGGTAGGGCTACCATGGGCTGACTGTTGGTAAAACTGGGGAGTGGAGGGTGACTCCCAGTGTGAGGGGTGTAGGTAGCCAGGATGTCCAGGATATCTTGAGGGGTGGTGGGAAGAGAGTGTTGTTGACAATGAGCCAAGAGATGGGAACCTCTGACACCATTCTTGCAGATGGTGCAGATGAAGACTTGAAGGATAGAATGATAGGCCAGACCATGGGTAGTCAGGACTGGTTCTTGGTTGAGAGGGATGTGGTACTTGTTTTGGTCTTGATCTGGAGGTCAGAGGACAGCTGAAACTTCCAAGAAGAGAGGAGAGGTACAGTAGCTTAATGTGGAAAACCTAGCTGGGAGGCTGGCTGGAGTGTGAAGTGTTTGGCTCACCTGGGATATAGAGGATCTGTTGTCTTTCTGGCTCATCTTTGGGATCAAGACTGATCAAATCTTCATCTGACATGTCAGCAGGTTTTCAACTTCTGAACAGAACTCACTGGATAACTCTCTGACATGGGATGCAGCATGAGCCAACATGGGGAGATGCTTGGTGCTGGTAAAGGGACATCCTGACACACAGGTGAATTTGGAATGGGGTCCCAGCCTTGTCTGATGTAGGAAAGGTTGGGTATCTCCTTTGAAAACAAGCTGTTGGTCAGCATCAACCCTATCTCTCAACCAGAAATGTTTGAGGGAGTGGAGATAACTCACAGCTATGTCATAGGGATGCTGCATAGCTAGATGTGAACCATAATTAGAGTGTGTTGCACAGAACTTGCTGCAAAGGGAGCAGATGAATGTTCCTTGAAGCTTGAAAGACTGCTGGTCAGCTTGGCAGGGATGTGAGGTACAGACTGACCATTTTGAGTTATGATTTGAGGTCTGCTTGAGATGAATATTGTACTGAGCAAAAGAGCAGAATCAGAGTGGTTGTAGAAATTTCTGATTTGAGGTCTGCTTGAGATGAATATTGTACTGAGCAAAAGAGCAGAATCAGAGTGGTTGTAGAAATTTCATGGTTGGGATATGGAGATATGGAGATATGGAGATATGGAGATGATGCAATGTGGCAGTCTGGGTAGAGTTCTGTGAAACTTTGCAGCCAGCTTTCTAGAGACAACCTCAGACTTCCTTCCCACCTCATCCTGTCTATCATGGTCAACCCTCAGCCATCTATGATTCAGCTACAGATCAAGACCTCTATCCAAGGTACTCAATACTCAGGAGTCTGCCATCTCCAACCAGCCCAGCCAGAACTTACTGCTCAAGTACCATCCCCTCAGCAATTATACCTCCAGGATACTCCTGTTGTTCCACCTCCCCTTTCTCACCCTTCCAGAAACAATACCACTTCTTGTCACTTCTTTGGGCCTAGCTACTACATGCCTCAACTCTCTCCCAGACCTCAAGTGGAACCTCCCCAACAGTTGGAGACCCAGGCACAGATATTCAACAGGCAGGACAGGGAAGGAGTGGCAGAGAGCAGCAGTGCAGGGAGGAAGAGATCTGTGATGAGTGAGAAGGCAAAGGCAGAAAAAAGGGAGAAGGAGAGAATTAGAAAGGCAAAGCAAAGGGCTAGGAAGAGGGAGATGAGAGCTAAGCAAGTAAAGGAAGAAGTTGGCTCTAGCAACACTGGCAAGGGCAAGGGAAAAGGCAAGGAGTAGAAGTAGGTCTTTATATTGAAATCTGACTGTTGACTGACCACCAGACCAGAAGAGATGTCTGAAAAGAGGATTACTTTCAAGAGGTGTAGAACTGTCATTGCAAGAGATCCAACTGGTTCAGTAGCTCATCATAGTAAAATCAAATGATGCATCCATAACTCTTGATTTGGGAAGAGGCATCTGTACCCATTTGGATAAAATGAGCTGCCATGATGGATTGAAGGAACTTATTTTTGAGAGGACTGTTCATGAGCCTTCACCATATCAGAACAGACCAGGATACATACTTCAAAGTTCAGTACCCATTAACCTCAAAACATAATAGCAAAGCCTTGAGGCATGTCCATCTGGTACATGCTGATACAGTGCCATGAAGAACTGTGACACTGCTTCCAAACCTCTGCTCTCCATGAGCCTCCACAGGTAAAACTGGAGTTGACCTGGGTCTATCACATTGAGAGAATGATTGACCCCCCTGAAATCACACCATTCCCAGAACACACCAATGATCTCCAATCTGAGTAGCAGCAGATTGACATGGGCATGGAGAGAGACATTGGGTGAGCCAGGAAGGGAAACATGGGCTATCAATCAGCTTTCAAGATCAGCTTCCACTTGGTGGGAGGAACTCACACCAGCATCCTGCTATGGTTGGCTCTATTGACCCCTGAAGCATAGACAGGCAGAAGCTAACTTGAAAGTCATTCAGATAAGGTAGATCTGAAGTTGACAGGAGATGCTCATGAAAGGTGGCCCAGCCTACTTCCATGCTTGTGATATCTGATATTAGTGCTGCAAGCTGAATAGTACTCTGCAATGCAACTTACAATTGCCATGTACATCTGCTCTCAGTGGGGTGTTCACTTGATAGTATGCAGGCATGATGGGGGTAACACCAAAGCTGGGTAGGTGTCTTGCATGCACAGGCAAAGGTGTTTGAAGGTGATTCATAGTGGCCTGGGAGTTGTGATATGTGGCACTTGGGTTTTCAGAAGTGAAAAAGTGTCTTTCCATCCTCTGTGCCTACAGACCTGTCAAAACCCCTAGTTAGGTGCTGCTAAAGACAAATTCCAAAAGCCCTGGGTGTCAGCTACATCTGGGTGAAGAGAAAACCTCCAGATGTGCAGTATTGCAGTAGATGGACCCCCAGTGACTATTGAGGGGTCCATTCTGACCCCCCCAGTGACTCCCCCAACAAGCCTTCTTTGATGAAAAAACATAAGTCTTTCCTTTCTGATACATACAGGTCAGTCAAAACCCCCACATAAGCTCTGCTGAAGACCAATTCTGAAAGCCAGGGATGTCAGCTACATCCTGGTGAAGAGAAACCTTCCAAATGTGCAGTATTGCAACAGAGAGACCCCCAGTGACTATTAAGGGGTCCATTTTGACCCCCCCAGTGACTCCCTCACTCTGCCTTTTTCAAAGTGAGGAGGCTGTTTTTTGTCTTCAGATGCATACAGTTTGGTCAAAACCCCCACATAAGCTCTGCTAAGGACAGATTCTGAAAGCCCTGGATGTCAGCTACATCATGGTGAAGAGAAAACCTCAAGATTTGCAATATTGCAGCAGATAGACCGCCAGTGACTATTGGGGGGTCCATTTTGACCCCCCCAGTGACTCCCCCACCCAGGCTTTTTCAAAGTGAAGAGGCTGTTTTTTCTCTTCTGATGCATTCAGTTTTGTCAAAACCCCCACATAAGCTCCCCTGAAGATAGATTCTGAAAGCCCTTGATGTCAGCTACATCCTGGTGAAGAGAAAACCTTAAGATGTGCAGTATTGCACCAGATAGACCCCCAGTGACTATTGGGGGGTCCATTTTGACCCCCCAGTGACTCCCCCACCCAGGCTTTTTCAAAGTGAAGAGGCTGTATTTTCTCTTCTGATGCATTCAGTTTTGTCAAAACCCCCACATAAGCTCCCCTGAAGATAGATTCTGAAAGCCCTTGATGTCAGCTACATCCTGGTGAAGAGAAAAGCTCAAGATGTGCAGTATTGCACCAGATAGACCCCCAGTGACTATTGGGGGGTCCATTTTGACCCCCCAGTGACTCCCCCACCCAGGCTTTTTCAAAGTGAAGAGGCTGTTTTTTCTCTTCTGATGCATACAGTTTTGTCAAAACCCCCACAGAAGCTCTGCTGAAGCCAGATTCTGAAAGCCCTGGATGTCAGCTACATCCTGGTGAAGAGAGAACCTCAAGAAGTGCAGTATTGCACCAGATAGACCCCCAGTGACTATCGGGGGGAGGCCCCCAGCAGGGTGGGGCAGTCACTGGGCCCCCCCAGTGACCGCAGAATATTGTTAGGGGGTCAAAATAGAGGGACTGGCTCATGTGAGTGACCAAAAATGGAGCAGATGACTCATGTGAGGAGGTCAAAATGAGTCAGATGGCTCATGTGAGGAGGCCAAAATGAGTTAGATGTCTCATGTGAGGAGCTCAAAATAAGTAAGATGATTCAAGTGAGGAACCCAAAATGAGTTAGGTGGCTCATGCAAGAAAGTCAAAATGAGGGAAATGGCTCATGTGAGGAATTCAATATAAGTGAAATGAGGCATTTGAGGCATTCATTATAAAGGAGATGGGTTCTGTGAGACCTCAGAATGGAAAGACTTGGCACATGTGAGGAGCTTAAATTGGTGAAGCCTGCACTGATGAGGTGCCCCAATCACAAAATCTCACTCAGGGAACACAGACGAAATGCAGTGCTAGGATCATCAGGAAGCATTATTATAGCCTAGACATGACATCTGAGCAGCACCTAAAATGATAGATGGCTTAACTGGAGGACAACTGGGAGTATCACAGTACACTCAGAGGAGCAGATTAACTTTGAACAAGTATCAGATCTGAATCCAGCGTGAAAAATGGGTGCAGCTGGTAATCATAATATGTGGAGTAGAAATTTGCTATCTCAGGAACGAAAGGACCTGCCTTTGCATCGGAACTATTTCTGTAATCTCCTCAAAAAATGATGCAGAATGAGTACCATAAGTCCTCCATTTCCTCAAAGTCAAACTCTCGCCTGTGATATGGGGAATAAAAAAACGCTATCTCAGGAACCAAAGGACCTGCCTTTGAACGGGAACAATTTCTGAAATCTCCTCGAAAAATGATGCAGAATGAGTACCATAAACACCACATTTCGAGTGATGAGGATCAAAACCCCCCCCCCAGATCCCTATGTAACCCTTAACCCCCTAACCCCCTAACCCCCTAACCCCTGAGGATCAAACTCATAAGGCCAAGGTTCCACCTTCCTCAAAGAGACGAACTTATCAGACTGCCCATACATCCGGTCCTTCTACACACTCGATGGACAAAAGGCGATGGTAATTGCATGTTCACAGCATTTGCAATGGCTTTTGGAGGTATCAACACCACACACAAGACAGTCAGAAGGGCAGCAATAAGCTGGGCCAGGAAGAACCGGGACTTCCTTGAGCCGTTCATGGAAGATGAGGATGGGCTGGATGGGTATCTGCATGAGATGGCACAATTGGGAACATGGGGAGATCACATCATGCTTGAGGCTCTATGTAGGACTTACAAGGTGGCGGTGGCAGTGCTGAAGAAAACAGAGAACGGGGAGCTGGTATGGATCAAGGTAGGAGAGTTTGGTCCTGAAACAAGGTTCATCCCATTGTACCTACAAGAAGAGCATTATGAGAATCTGGTGTCTTTGGAGGATGTCTATCAGAGGTAGGATAATGGATGGTGAATTTGGCCTCAGGATGGAAATAGACTTGTAATATGTACATTATTGTAGTAGTGGTCGCTGCCCCCTTTGCAAGGTTTTCCTCCGGGCTCTGCCCGGTTTCCTTGAAAAGTGCCAGTGATTCACAATGTATGTTTGAGATGCATCAGATGTACCATTGCACAGTTATTAACATTACATGATGGAAGCTCATCCACACTGACAACAGGCAAAGGTCCAGCAGGAAACATCTTGGAGTGAAAGAAAAAACCAGATTTGCGAAGAGTTCAATTCACCACCACCTGTGACGGGTTGTAGCACCATGAATTTCTGGCCCCTCCCAAATTTTGGTTTATGAGTTCAGACTGTGAGTGCTGCAATCTATGGATGCGTCCACCCGACTCTCAGCTGTGGGCATTACACAGCAAAGACTGCAAGGTTTTGAAAAATTGGTGGACTTTGCAATGAAATTGATTACTGCATGAACTTTGAGTGCACAAGTGGCCATCAATACTTGGCCCCCCACTTCTACTCTTGCGGATCCTGAATCTCCACAGTCAGCTCTATCCCCTGGTACTACATACTGACACCTTCTGACATTTGACAACAAAACCAGAGGAGTTTTCAAAAATCGACCAAATTTTAGCAAAAAATCATACCCCAACCAACTTTGACTGGCTCTAGCTCACTCAATACTTTGCCCCCAGTCCAGGCCTTTGTAGATTTGGAATCTACACGATCAGAGCTTTCAACTGGTATAGCATACACCCCCCTCCCGGCCCTGGACGAAAAACCCCCCCCCCCCAGGATCGCGCTGTAACCCCCTAACCCCCAGCAAAATGATATGAACATTCTACCAAATTTAGATGTGGTTATTTTCTATAGCCCATTGCCAGTTCTCTCCCCTGTGTTTCTGGAAGGAATGACCATTGGCTAGCTTCCACCTCACCTCCTCAATTTTTCTTGCCCTAAGCACCTTCCATTCCTCCACTTCCACCTGACCACCATGGAACTTCTTTGCATGTACACACTTACATTGACCAGTAACTTTGTGTCTGAAGTTATATTGACACCCTATGACTCTTCCACTAGTCCTAATGTCCACTTTGTAGAGCTCCCACTGAAGTTCTGACAGGTGATGTTGGAGAGGTTGACTGTATTGGGAGGGAGGGGATTGAAGTAGATGAGGTTCTAAATGTAAGTGACAGTACATCAAGAGAGGGACTTGACTCACCAACAAAGTGTTGTTCCATGTGATTGATTTGAGCACCTGTCATGTCTGCTACATTGATTAGCTTATATGACAGTCCAGCCTCAGAAGACTTACAAAGAACCATCCTTGGATGACTAGCAGCATGAGCCATCATGATGATATGACTGGCAGAAGTGAAGTGACAACCTGGGACACAGGAGAATAAGCTTTGAGGGGTGACTCTATCTTGCAGGAGGGGGATGAGGGTGTCCCATTGATAATGGAGCTGTAGGTCAGCTACCAGCTAAAGGGAAGGGGAAGACAACAGGGACTGGAAACTCACAGCAACTTCGAGTGGATGATGCAGGGACATGTGACAATCCAAGGTCCTGTAGTCATTGAAGGACATGTAGCATATCAAGCAGGTATCTTGTGCATTGAGAGGGTTTTGATTGTTCTGATATCAGCTTCATGGCCAGCAATGACTTTTGAGGGGAAGGAATCAAACCAGAGAAGGTATGAGTAACAATGATGATAGGAGCTCATGGAATGGGGTATAATAGAGTGATAGTAAGCATAGAATCACAGGTCAAGAGAGAGAGGTGAAGAAGAGCACAGAGTGAGGGAATTCAAAGCCTGGGAGGAGGAGAGTCAATGAGGGAGAGAAGTGGAGAGGAGAGGAGAGACTTGTGGGAAGAGAAATGTAAAACCTACCATTGCAGGGTAGAAGAGTCCACTCATGTTGCAGCAAGGAAAAGTGGGAATTGTCAAATAGAAGAAGTGAGGAATGAAAATGAAGAGGAAGAAGAGTGGAGACAAGACCGCAGGATGCATCCTATATACCCAAGAGGACCACAGCTTTTCACGGATGTTTCACGGATGCAGCATGTGCTGCAGAATTGATGGTTGGGGAAAGGTAGCACCCCAAAAAAATGCCATCATAAATTACAGGGAACCCATCAAGGGTTCTGGGCAGTTCATGATGGCACCCTTCTATCTTCCCACCACTGAAGGGTCTTCCTCTTGGGATAATGATGGATGGATGGATCTAGCTCATTCCCCACCTCTACCATTATCCCATATCTTGTTTTGACCAATCACAGAGTAGCCTCCACATGACACATGCATAGATTTGGGGTCTTTGGTGTGGGCAACATGATCTGCAATAAGATCAATGCTAAAAGAGGGCCCTTCAGCTGTAAACTTGGGTTAATGCATGGATTGGCTCCCCTCTCTCAGATTGGGCTGCCTTGAGGTGAGATCATCCGCCGAAGATGTATGCTAGGTGAACTGTGACATGGACGATCATACTGTACCGACGGCAATTAAAACCAGAGTGGAGAAGAGTCGGCCAGGGACTGAGTGAACATCACACTTTACTCTTGACTCAAACCATGTCTCGCCTTTCTGGCAACTTGGCGACCTATCCCACATCAGCTGGCGACCTGGCTCATTTCTCAACTGGTGATGTCAGCTCTACCAAGGCGGTCGTCTTGATTGGAGGGTTCTTCTGCGGGATGTTGCAGCCGGGATTTGTGGTACCTCTTTCTGAGGCTCTTTGAGAGGCAGGGTGGATGTAGTGAGTGATCCTCTGGATAGATGTTTCTGACGATCAGAGTATTGATGCATTGGTCTAGTGCGTATAGAGGTTGGGGGATGGGTTCGCTGGATAACGACGTGAGAGAGATGTCCGACTTGGTTACCCATCTTCGGCGTCAAGGTGAGATTTTCATGCCATGCTGCCATTCTCCCCTTTCTCCTGGTGAAGTTCCGATAGGTACTTGCTACTTAATTACGTGTCTCTGATGTGGTATCAACGAGAAGAGAAGAGATGACGGGAATCATGGCTCACGATAGGCATATCCACCGTCGTCCTCATGGGTCATTCCACCGGTTCTCAAGATGTCATCCATTACCTCTCTTCCTCCTCAAGTACCTTCTCTCCCCTTGCCCCGGTCCAAGGGCGGATCATGCATGCTCCCATCAGTGATCGCGAGTATTTTGAATCGAATTCTGCTGAGGGGGATGACTGGGGCTGGGGTGCTCAGCTAGAGATAGCCAAGGGATTAATAGTGGAAGAACAGAGTCAGCAAGTTCTCGATCGGAACTTTTGTCAGACGGTAGGAGGACCAGTGACGGCTTATCGACTGCATAGTCTGGTCGGAGTCGGGTGAGTTTCTCATCAACATCTACTGTCCAAGGGTGATATAATATGGAATAGTCATTGCTCAAGAAATAAGTGACAGGACACCAGATTCTACTCTCCCTGTCCATCGCCTCAGTCACCTTGTCAGTCCATATTCGATGAGTCTCCGGAATACTACTATCACAAAAGTCACTGACGGAAAGCTGATGATATCAGAGGCGACGATGACTATTTCTCCTCAGACCTTCCTGACACACTTGAAAATAACCCCATGAATCATAAGCACCCCCTCTCGACTTCCTTCGGTCGTCTCTCCGCTCCTGCTCTAGCCATCTACAGCAAGAAAGATGAGACCTGCCGTCTACCTGATATCTCCGCTACCTTGGATCGATGGACCTCTGCTGCTGGAGCCAAACTTGAGACGGTTATCTTGGAGGGTGCGGGACACAGCGTGGATGTAAGATGGCTCGCGACAGACTCTGTAAGCTCGCAGTTGGATGGCTAGAGGCTCTCAGGCGATAGGATTCACCCATGCATCTCCCACTCGGTTCACCTCCTTTGACTCCTTTCGTCACTTCTCCCACTCAGCATCCTACTGATCTCGACTAGCATCTACAAATCTACGGCCGACGTTCAGTGAAATAGCCGCCCACGAAAGAGAACAGGCGCCATCGGCGGTTAACACCCGCCAACATCCCGTCTGCTCAGGGAGAAGGCAACGAGACCCTGAGTCACTTTTTTTATCACATTAGAGTGGACACTGGACGCCCTCTTGTTTTGCACTTCCTCTTGCGTACATTCCACTCGGCCAAGCAGGATGCCAAGTTGTGCGACGTGTGGAGTGGGGAACGACTGGTGGAGTATTATACCTTTTACTCGGTGAAACGATCTTCTCTGCTGGACAGTCATTCGAATCCCAACACCATGAAATCCGACACTTCTATCGTCCTGTCCCAGGCGGCACAACAACAATCCGTCGATGGGATATCGACTGTCGAACCCACTTCGGATCTAGAGTCCAGTCCCAAGTATGAAGGACACGATATCAAAGAGAAAGAAGGGGAAAGCGTCCAAAGCGAGACCCTGCACGAGTTAGAAAGGGGTGATTCGAAAATTCAAGAGAATCACGATCATGATCAACCGGGTGTACGACAAGCAGACGCTATCACTCGTACTTGGAGTAAGACATCATTGAGGGTGGTGTATCTCTTGTGAGTGGAACATCTTCTTTATCAAAATTGACAGGGTGAGTTTGACTGACTCTTTCAGCCTGTGGCTCACCTACACTGTGAACACTTTCCAGTCTTCAATAACCGGCAGCTTGACCGCCTACGTGACCTCGGGTTTCGAAGAACACTCTCTCATTCCTGTCATATCTATCGTATCCAATGTCATGAGTGTGGTGGCTTATATGGTCCTGGCCAAGATACTCAACCTGTGGGATAAAAGTTATGGGTATCTCGCTTGTTGTGTTTTGGCCATATTGGGACTGGTGTTGAGTGCTGCGTGCACGGAGATCTACACGTACTGTGCTGCACAGGTGAGTCAATATCCCCGCTTGCCCCTATCTATCTTGTTGCATTTCCTATCAGTGGCTCTTGATCTGTGATATGAACCATACATCGCGGTACCTCTGTGGTTGTTGCCTACCGTTTCTCTCTCACTCTCCCAACCGGCCCAGTTTGTTTGTAATGTGCTCCAACAGTGGTCCTTCCTCTGTCACTTCCGACCACAGTCAAAGTCAACTATGTGAGTGAGGCCGGCTGACTCCAGTGCTTCTACTCGGTAGGCTTCATAGGCATGATCTTCGCCGTGGACGTCATCACCGCCGGCACATCCAGCCTTTGAGATAGAGGTCTCGCATACGCCTTCACAGCTTCTCCATGGGTCATCACAGCCTATGCCGGTCCTGCCATCTCGGAGAGGTTTTACGATTACAACTGGCGATGGGCCTTCGGAGCGTTTGCCATCATTCTACCTTTTGTGGCCGTGCCATTGTTCGGGTTGATGCAGTGGCATAAGAGGAAAGCTGCAAAGGCGGGTTTGGTGGTGAAGGCTGTTCCGGATGTGAGGAGCTGGACAGAGTTGGTTTGGTACTACTTGATTGAGTTTGATGGTGAGTTGGGTTTCCATATATTATTTTCTTCCATCGTATCCTGGATAGTCAAGTTGTCGATTCGTCCAGTTGTCAGCTGTCCCGCTTTTCTCTTTGGGTAACCCCTGGTTTCTATTTGGTCCCGTCTATTCCATCGAACTCGCAATTTCACGTCAACGAACTTGAAAATGGCTGTTCTTTAGTCGCATACCCCAATATGCAGCTACCTATTCCTACACAGGCTCTCATAGTCCTGGCAAGGGAGACCACCAAGCTCGCTGAACCACTACTCGATTCTTCTTTGCTACTTCGCTACTTCGCTAACCCACAGTCCTCGGAGTCTTCCTCATATCCGGAGGAATGGTACTCTTCCTTGTCCCCTTTTCCATCGCCACTTCCACAGCCGACGAATGGCGTTCAGCATCCATCATTGTCATGCTCGTTCCCGGTATCCTATGTCTCATCGCTTTCACCTTGTATGAAAAGTACCTCTCACCCGTCCCATTCGTCCCTTGGAGATTACTACATGATCGAACCGTTATCACCGCTTGTGGATTATGTTTCACATGGCAAATAGCATATTACTGTTGGGCGTCATATTTCACTTCATACCTTCAAGTCGTATACGATTTATCCATCAGCGAAGCTGGTTATATAAGTTACATCTACAACGTTATCGCGACTATTTGGATGTTACCCACCGGTAATTTAATCCGTCGAACAGGTTATTACAAATGGATTCTTTTGATAGGAGTTCCATTATACGTTTTAGGTGAAGGTTTAATGATACGTTTTCGTCAACCTGGTCATTCAATAGATGGATAATTTTCACTCAAATATTAATAGCTTTCGGTGGTTCTTCTTTCACTTGTGTTGAACAAGTAGCCGTGTTATCAGTTGGAAGTCATAATGATTCAGCTGCAATGTTAGCTTTATTAGGTTTGTTTGGATATTACGGTGGAGCGGTTGGTAATTCTATTTCAGGTGCGATTTGGACAAACACTTTACCTAAATATTTAAAAGAATATTTACCTGAAGAAACTATAGATAGTTGGGAAGATATTTATAATGATTTAGATCAACAATTGTCTTTTCCGATGGGGGATCCAACTAGGACGGCTATTAATGAAGCATATGCCGTGGCACAGAGTAGGATGTTGATCGCTGGTACGGCTGTCATGGCTTTGGCTTTGGTTTTCACTTTGATGATGAGGAATATCAACGTTTCGAAGATTCATCAGGTCAAGGGGGTTTTGTTCTAGGTATGGGGTGATTAGTGGGTTATATACTTTCTAGTGCGAGATCAATACTTAGACATTAACGGATGCATGTGTAGACAACTACATCTACGATCTCGCACCCGGCATTGACTTGCCAATTGTCTCCCGGTCCGCTCGATCATCTTGGTAAAGCATGGACGTCGCATGTTCCGCCTGCCAAGACTACAGTCCGACGGAGATGGAACACACCTTGCGAATTCGATACAGCATGCATCACTGAGTTGTGTTGAGATATGTCCTGTAGAAACATCTTAAATTGATGACTTTACATGGGCTCCCCTCCAAAATGATATCAATACAGAAGTGACAAAACTTACCCCCCGTCAAATCAACAACATCCCCTCATCATACAAATCAAACATGACTTCCCTCCATCCCACTTCTTTTCCCCTCTCCACCCTCCCCCTTCGCACCCATACCTCCTCCATCAACCTCGTGGCCGTAGCGGTGTTCCCAAACACACTACCTTCGTCCCCCAACCGTCGGAATCGATTTCGGAATACATCTTGAAGACTCGGGTCGGAAGTGTGACAGCCCGCCATGACGATAGGGAAGATCAATGCTCGATCTGCGGTGGTTTGAGGTAAAGAGTCGAGAATGAGGAGCGAGGTAAGTGTGTCTTGGACCGCTGAGGCAATCTCAGGGACTGGAGTATCAGATCAGTCAATCCCCAAGTGATATGTGCTCCTTCTACTGGTCCCCTCATGGAATAATGACATGAGTGAGAAGACGTTTTCGGGATAACGGGGTACAAGACGACGGTTTTGATTAGACGGAGAGCAATACGGGGAGACAAGCACTTTTGGAAAGAATCAATGGCCAACAACAGATGTGTTTGAATCGTTACACAGGTCGCAGGGAAAACAGGGACGTTTGAGGACAAAACGCATCGGGACGAGGGTCGGATAGACAAGAAGACTGGTGCAGGAAGAAAGTAGTCATCAGACGAACCGACTCACCAGCAGGAAACGACCCATTCACCACAACAGCCAGAAACACTCTAACACCATGATAAAACACATCGCTCACACATCTCCTCTCCACCGTTAACGCATCTTCAGAGCTGAACAAATGTCTCTCGCGCTATCTTCTTTCGTTCAGCAGACTCTGTATACGGTCGGCACGTCGGATCAGCTCGGGGTAGGAAAGTTGACCCGATGAGATGACGGAAGACTTCCATTCTGACAAAGCGACAGTTTCGGCTAGGGCGAGGCGCTGGGGTAAGCATTGCAGGTGTGCGTCTCGGACGGGCGGTGTGTGGAAAGTCTGAGTTCTCTCTCGATCCTCCTCTAAGTAGTCTCAACTTCATGGGAGGATGAAAAGACATGTGAAGATGAGACGGAGAAGAGTGTGATGGCGGCGACAGCATGGCAAGGTCACGCTACAAGAAGGGATGAAGATGAGGGTGTTGGAGATACACGCATAGCGGACAGATGAAGTCACTGCGAAGATGAAGATTAGAAAGACCTGAGGACATGTAAAAATCAGGTAGATAATTGCCAGAGACAGAAATATGCGATCATGGCCAGATCAACAGCTGCACTCACAGTGGTACTATCGCAACCCATCACCGACTCTCTCAGCATTCTCGACGTCTTGTCATCTCCCATATGATCATCGAGCAATAGAGTCCTGTAGGCCTCGAGAGACTCTGTAGACTTACCGTCGGTGACAGAGACGAGGATATCTGTCCATATGACTGCGTTGATGAGGTGACCGAGGCGTTCGCTGAGGTATCCGACGTCAAGTGTGGAGCTATATGGTCAGTCCTGAAGCATATGCGTGTGTTCTGGATGACGCATCGGTCCATGTCATACAACACAACTCTGGGAGAATGGAAGACCTCTCAGGACCAGTTGTCAATGAGAGCATCGACGGGATGAGTGCCAGTGGAAGACAGGGGTTGACAAAGATTGAGGATAGGATAATATGAGAGGTAGAGAAAGAGATCTGGGGACACAGGCTTGGGGCGAAGTGGTGAAGAACGATGACGACTCACCAACCACTCATCTGTCCTCGCAACTTGGCGGTTGTCAACAGCCCATACCAACATCTCCTCACATGTCCCGCTGTCTCCCTCCACCCTTTCTTATTCCCTCCATCAAACAAGTAAAAGCTTGAAGCGGTGATAGCGGCGACTACAGCCTTATCCGAAGTCATCTCCGCTGACGGTGTCACCCGTAGTTCTTCAATGGTGGAGTTTATAGCTTGTCTAGCAAATTTTAGATCCTCATCATCCGTCGTGGCCTCTTTCATTCTCGTAGGGATTTCCGGTCGTAGCCGTGTTGAGACGCGGGACGTGAGATACGGGCGTGAGAGATCCTCGCGACGATTATCAATCTGAGGATTGTTCGAGATCGCCTTGATCCGCCGATGTGCAGACATGTGTAATGCGGCAATGGCGCATAAAGAGCTGAACACTGCAGGATGTGTGAAAGCGAGAGGAGTGACGAGACTGGAAATGGACTGAATGTCGAATTTGTACTGCAGGGGCATGACGACCTCGAGGTAATGATGAAAGTATCTGATATCGGGTGTGGGACGTGGAGTTGGAGTATCATCTGAGAGGTCTTTGACCGCAGGGTTGTTCATGAATGGGAACATGAGGGTACCTGGGAATGGTGGATACTGCAAAGGGTACGAAGGGGAGAAACCAAGGAGGGAAAGAAACTCCGGGTCGAGGTCTAAGTCGGAGAGAGGGTTTGAGGGGGAGAGTGTGGGGATGGGCATGTATACGGATGTATGCTCTGTGGACTTGTTTGGATGAATGGGAGGGATAGAAGATAGAGGATTCGACTCCAGATTGATAGATGTGGATGTGGTATGGACCCCACATTCCGGGGCCGATGGAATGTTGACTTGTCCTGGAGGGTGCCGCCCAGTTGGAGGAGATCCGACTGGACTAGAGGAGCTAGGGACGGTGTCTTGAGAAGATTTGATTGATTCTGACGCTCGTTCACACCACATTGACCTCCTCTTACCCCTCTTGACTTGATTGATGGTATCGGTCCTGCTCTGTCAGTCACACCATGGTTGGGTCAAGGACAAACTCACAACTCCGCAGCAGTCCTCGTAACGACATCCCTCTGATTCATCCATCTCGGTCTTTTCTCTTCGTATCCCATACATTCAAGTCCGAGTCGGGTGCAGCAAGCACAGACGGGTTTCCCCTCGTCACAACGCTACGAGTCAACTGGCCACTCACTTTGCTAGCATGACGAGAGAGAAGAAAAGAGAAAGTGGAATAGATGATGGTGTGAGGGCGCACCTTTTTCCTCAACCGACAAGTGAGACAACCCGTCTTTGTCCTCTTACTCCTCGATGATCCTCCAGCATCGCTGATAGATACGAATGTTCCAGATGGTTCAGATAAGGGTTCCGAGTGTGACATGGTTGCATGCCCTTTTGCCCTTTTTGGGTAGAGAGCGAGTTTGATACAAGTTCCGAGTGGCGGTAATCTGATAACGTGGGGGGTTGTCACGTGATGTTCCGTTTCGGTACCTGGGTTTAAGGCCGCGGCGATACGGCAGGTGGCGCTATTAGTATTGCACAGCGGAGATGACCGCCGAAGATGTCGCCATCGTCACACTCGATCACACCATCACTACTCGCTCTCTCAACATCCAACGATTCACAAACGATAAGGAGCATACTTCCGGACACGACCGACGGAGGGGGGAGGGGGAAGGGGGGAGGGGGAGGGGGGCAAGGCGATAGACAAGTATGAGGGGTGACGAAGACTGAGAGTAGTGGAGGAATGTCTTATAAACCCTCCCCCCTCCCCCCCCCCCCGGTCTCTCTCTTGAAAAGTCAACCATCCCTCGCATCTCTTCAAAAACACACTCTGTAAATCTCATACAAAATGCCCATTGCCATCTCTCCTCCCTCCATCTCCCACTACTCTTACGTCCCAGAGACGAAAGAGAAGCTCGACTGGGCCGATCGTGAGTCTGTCTCTTCACACCACTCTCATTCCACCCCTTGACTTGCCCCACCACTCTCTCCTTCATCGAGCGAATCTATAGACAGAGTGACTAACCCCCAGTTCCCACCATCGACCTTTCCCTCTACGGAACTCCCGAAGGTAACGCACAACTCGCAGACACCCTCATCAAAGCAGTCAGGACCAAAGGTTTCTTCTACGTCACCAACTTTGGTATCTCTCAAGAGAAAGTAGACAAACAATTCGCCATCGGTCAAAAGTTCTACGAGCTCCCCTTGGAGGAGAAACTCAAGTACACTCCTGATCTTGAGAATGGAGAGTACAACGGGTATAGGCCGGCGGGTAGGACCGTACATGATAGTGGGGTAAGGGACAGGACCGAGGTATACAACATCCCTAGTAGGTATCTTTCTCCTTCCTCACCAGAAATTATATGTTGACTGTCAGAATTCGATGGATTCCACCCAAGAGAACACCCTGCTCCTGTGGCCGACAACATCGGAGAGATTGAAGAATTTGCTCGTGTGAGTATTCGCACCCCTTTACCAACGTCACCTCGCCAATGACACAAATGGCACATGACCGAAACTGACAATCAGTCCCTCCACGACAAAATCCTCGACCCTCTTCACACCCTCCTCGCTCTCGCCCTCGAACTTCCTCCCGACTTCTTCGTGAACCTCCACAAATACGAAAACAAATCAGAGGACCATCTCCGTTACATGAAATATAGCAAATACCCAGCGGAGGATATCCCTAAGTTGGGAGGGTTTTACAGCAGGGGTCACACCGATCTCGGTACCCTGACGTTACTGTTCAGACAACCCGTGGCGGCTTTGCAGATCAAAGATCACGAGACAGGAGAGTGGAAGTGGGCCAAACCTCTTGATGGCAGTTTGACCGTCAACACGTGTGACACTTTGAGCTTCCTCACTGGGGGCTATGTCAAGAGTACGATTCACAGGGTGAGTGACCAGCTATCTCTCAGCCTATCACTCCTTCTTCCTTCTCTTCTGATCCACGTTCGTCGTCCACTTCTCTATCTAACGTCGTGATCAGCGTCAAGGAGGCGTCATGTCGTATCCTCTGCTCACGCTCACCCCCAGGTCTCCGTCCCACCCAAGGACCAACAACACGTCGACCGTCTCGGTCTTCTCTACTTTGCTAGACCTCAAAACGACCTCGTCTTGAACACCATCGACAGTCCCGTTCTCAAACGTGAAGGCTACACCCAGAACGAGTTTGAAAAGGCTGGTGTTCCAGTGCCTACCATGGAGGGTGGGTCTTTCGCTCCCCACACGCTTCACTCCGTATCCATCACAACCATCACTCTCACATCACTCTCTACATCTCGCATCGCCACACCACTTTACACATTTCGATCATCTTTCTCACTCAAATCATCGCCTTCGTCATGCTTTCTCCCACACTGCATCGCCTTTATCCTCATTTTCTTCTCACGCCACATACGAATGTCATCGCTAACGTCGCAGAATTCACATTCAAGAAACAAAAATGGCAACAGGGTACGGGGAACAAAGGCGCAATTTCGTACAAGGAGAAAGAAGGACAGGAGATCCTCCCGGGGTTCAAGGGCCAACTCTTCACCTGAGCTGGATGACTGTAGCTGAATATAGCAGGCCTGACGCAGACGTGAGCTGTCAAAATGAGTTATATGAATAATGCTTTCCATCGAGGATATGTCGGAATCACCGTCACTCATACTTTCTCACCTGTCTTCGGACGACGACTTCTCACCACCCACTTATGTTTCTTTCTAACTCACACTGACCAAAGGGGAATTCATGACGTTGCCGGCCCAAGAGAGGACCAGGTTTTGGGAGTTGGATGCTCAGAAACGCCCCCACCCGCTGACAATGGAGGGGCCAGTGTGATTGCCACCCGGCAGGCAATCAAGTCGTGAGTTTTCTGATGATTTATGCGGATTGTGTTATCATGGCCTGCTTCTCACCTGAACTCGAATGATGCAGCCGAAATTTGTTGGAATGACGTAGACGTGAGTTTGACAGGAAGAGCGTGATGAATGACGTTCCCTTCAGTTTTTCGTGAACTTCTCACTTTGTCACACTTGCAACAACTCATGCAGGCTAGATGATATCAGATTACTCAACAGATCCCCCAGGGATTATCACCACCAAGGTTGTATCCCTCCCTGGTCTTGGGCGTTCAACCGTCCAAATTTCGTCATCGATCACCCTTTCATCCGGTAGCATCGCCCTCAACGTCATACGATTTGGTTTCCCGATTCATGTTCACTGCCAGATACTCCAGGTATATGATATTAGTAGCCTGTCTCACGATTCTCTCACCTGACCAGAATCACCACCCCAATGTGGGAAATCAAAATCGGCTACCTCACACCTGGACATCCCGTAACATCAAAATACTCGCACATGGAAATCATGTTCGAGCGCACAATGAACAACGATTCACAGATCACGACTCATACTTCAGCGACGTGCCCTACACCTATCGACACCGGGGGTAGTCTCACAACTCAGAGGTTTTCAGGTGTTGACAATGACTCTGATCTCGACATCAGTAGAAAACATGTTTACTGCGAAGCCGAGGGCGCATCAGACATAGGATGGAGAGTCAGCATCATGGGACAGGACAATTCTAGCTCTAGCATGGTGAAATCGAAGGTCCTTGGGTCCTTGACAGGTGGGGAGCTTCCAACAGCCATCTCCTTATGCAAGCAGCCATCACTCTTACCCAGGCTGAACACTGGGGAAAACTGTCAGCACTATGTCGGAAGAGCCCTGTATGTGTGAAATGAGGAGTTCTCCTTGATGTCTGACTGGTCTACCGTCTGGTGGTGTTTCAGGTTGCAGGGTAATCAGGAAATAAGGAGTGGGTTGTTTGATTCAATTGAGACAGTGTTGAACCTAAAGTAAATTATTATTTACGAGTAAAGTGAGAAATGATTGGTTCTTTTGCATACAAGTTGAACCACCATTTCGGTATTTGCTTGACTCACGACTGAAGGTAGATTGCACTTGATGATGTATGGGTTACCGACGTAGCTCCCTTTTTGGAACGTTGCTTCTTGTCGGCACCCGGACCGAAAGAAAGGGGTCATGACATGCGTTAAACTTCTTTCCATGAGCGTCTTCGTCCTCGAGGTGGAATTTGCTTCTTCCGCTATGAGGATGGTTCCCTGCAGCCGTCTGGTACATTCATCTTCTCTTGCCCTGTCATCATCATCTTCCATCTGAAAAATCTCACGTCTTGCGTAGAACAGAAAGCGACAAGAATGTGGAACATCAAGTTAGGGTACAGTCAAGGTGCCGACCCCGACGAGTACGATATGTTGCATTGGGAACTTGTTTTGGAATACGACAACAGTACCAGTGATAATTCTCTCGTCTGCCCTCATAACGAAGACGATTTCGACAGTGATGATTCCAACGATGACTATAAACGTTGCGGATGTCCTCAGATCGACTGGAATCTTTTTTTGGAAAATGATCAAGGTGAAGTCGTTCCTCAGAAATGGTTCCAATTCATTCATTCCACTTATGATGATCAAGCCAACGAATGGGAGTTCAGTCATCACTCATCCAACTCTTTCAGTACCAAAATGACCCTTTCGAGTGTACTGGGAACCATAACGGACGCGCAACTCGACCAGGCAATCAATGCCTGTGGTGAGGTCGATTTACCCGATGATGATAAGGATGAGAACTGTCAAGATTTTATTCGGAGAGCCTTAGACGTTTTGAATGGAAAGTTCGGTTTGGTGAGCTCGTATCAGCAGACGGTCGACAAAATCAGGTACCAGAACAACGAGGGGTAGGGAGGGCAAGGGCTGCGAAGGGGGCCGCTGAGGTCAAGACATGTGTGGTGAGTCCCTGTTTGGGAAAGAGTGACACGAATTGACCGCAGAGGAATGGGAAGCGTCACTGGAGTGAAGATCAGGGCAAGGAGGGACTAGGTGAGGGAAAAGGAGAAAAGTGCACAATGAGCGAGTAGAATGTGATAAGGACGGGAAAATATAAACACATGTAAGAGCTTTGTAAGGAATAGAAGAGGCGAGACGGAAGAAAGTCGATCGAGATGCATATATATGTGACTGCCTGTCAGAATGTCTTCACCTGTGTTCTTAGTGCTGAAACGAGTGGAGAGGTGACAAAGGGAAACCATCGGTGGAAAGAATTGTATCCGGAAGACATGGTCTGGATCATTGAGCACCTACCTATAGACAGTGCTTTCAGTACTCCCAATGATATCCAGCTCAAATGAGCGTCATGCCCCACAACTGTCTGACTTCCCACGGATCTCCGCTCAACCGTTTGCGTCGGTAGGTGAAGTGGACGAGTGTAATGAAAAATTTGATAGGTCTATTGGGTCTCATTGACCTGTCGGAGACGTTTCGCCTCCTGACGGATCAGTTTCCTCAATCGCATCTTCTCCACCATCTCCGCCCTGATATTCTCACGCTGCGCTCTCATGGTCCCTTGATACAGCTTGCTCATAGACTCCTGCGCATCATTATCAAGCTCTGATGATAATCCCCACGTCGATATCAGAACTGAAGCGAATGCTCTCAACCTGTGCGAATGACAAACCGCCGCGAAAACCTCCATCGTTGCAGTGTACCATCCTGCGTATTCCCAATCCGCAATTCCCGTCACTTTCCCGCCCTCAACCAATATATTTCCGGGATGTAAGTCCATATGACAGAATCGGACTCCTCTATCTGTTTGTAACATACGAAGGATCGACTCGTGTCTGTCTTTCAAAGAGTCCAATTGGGGTGTTCGACACGTCATGTTCTCCACCAGATGTTCGAGGGCGACTGGACCTGGACCTAATTCGTCAAAGTATGGCAATCGGAGACATGAACTTCCTTCGAGACTGCATACTTGGTCTGGATACGGAGGTCGGATTCCCATCGCGTCGAGAGAATCGTTGAGGTCATCCATGATCCGCTTCAAATCGCCACAGATGGATTCTTTGTCTCCTGGGTATATGCGTTTATGGCCGTAAGGTAATCCTGGAAGGGTGGTCATGGCTATCACGTTACATTCTTGGTAAGTTGACCATTCGAGAGGTACGGGCGAAAATGTACAACCGGTACTGTGTACGAGTTGAAGGATGTCGTATTCTTCTTTGGTCACACCTTGTCCGAATTTGAGAGTTATGCCGTCTTGGAAGGAATGAACGTGACGACGACGGGCGTTGCGCCTTGCTTCGTGTAGAAGATCAGGAGTGAGGAGGTGATGATAGGACATGGGAAGAGTGTTGAAGGTATGAGTACAGACTGGGATGTGTCAGCGAGGATCGTAAAGAAGGAGAGACTCACAGAGGATGAGGGTACCGGGTCCTATCACCGGATACAGCGACTGTTAAAGTCGGATGGGATGAGAGAGGAAGGACTGAGGCGTTGTAACCGAGTATGATAATCTCGCCGGGGGAGCAGACTACTACCAGTGTTAGATATCAGAGGGGTGAATAAGAACAATGTTTACTATGTGAAAGGGTTATGTAAGTACGACAAGAGTAGGTGAGTAGTAGTAGTAAGTACATACGTAGGGTGTGGCAGTAGGGGTGCTCATTTCTGATACGCCAAAATAACACGTGTTAAAATGACGTAAAAATTTCCTCTTCGGGTAATTTTGATGACAAACAAACGCGACATCACCACAGGTGAAAAGTGACCGTTGAGTTTTCATCATCACCGTAGAGTTATCGTATCTTCTTACAGAGACACTTTAAAGCGATAAAAAGCCAAGAATCTGAAAGAGGAGAGCTGTAGCTTCAAGCTGATACTATGGACACCTCGGGGGGTGGTAATTTGAGGTCACCGTCACCACCTGTAAATATGTCGTTAAACCCCCTTCGCATACCCCTGCTAACTTCAGTAGGTTCTGCATATCCCCTCCACTGCTCGGCAACCATCTACTAGAACTCAGCAAAGGAGGAACAGGGACAAAGAGGATAGTCAGGACAACCCCCCAGCAACTTTAGGCTGGACAAAAGATCAAGGTACCGGCCAATACTGCTCGCTCGACTACCTTATTGAGTGGTTAGCTATGGGAGATAACTTCAAGAAGTATCAACATGGCCTAGGGGGTAAGAAGAAGCTGGGGATGGCTAGGGAATGCTCTGAGTGGATGTCCAAGTCAGGATGTCCAACTACAAGATCGACTGATCAGATACAAAACAAGGTAAGTGTGATTTCCTGTCATACATCACCTATCTGCCACTTGTCAAAGTGCTTTTGCGCAATCAGACACTTGAAACGCATACCCCTGAATACCTCCACCTCCACCTCCACATGCTGGAACCTTCCACCCTTGCCTCCACCTTTACCTCCACTTGCTTATCAAGCCTCCACACTCTGGAACATTCTGTGCCTGCCTCCACCTTCCCAAAGTAGTAACTCTGGTTGATTGCTGAGCAATCATCCATAGTCCGGAACATTCAGTGCCTGCCTCCACTTTCCCAAAGTAGTAATTCAGTCTGCTCGCTGAGCAATCTTTCCCACGTTTGCGCTTTCTAGTTTATTCCGTAGACATGTTGAGCAACCCGCTTGATGGGGATAAATACCCCCTCCAAACAGGTTGTTCCCCACCTATGGATCTTGTGTCAATCCAGTCAGTCCCAGCCTGACATCTTGCAGTCCCCTCAGTCCCCTCAGTCCCTTGTCACCCTCTGTATACTCCTCAGCTCTACGAGCCCGAGACAAGTATTGGGTTACAGCCCCATTCCAGTCACCTTGCCTACCCTCTGGGGATTAGACCCCGTCCGTGACATTTCCTTCCTTTTCTCCCCCCCTAAAACTCTGCTGATGTCTTCTAGATTTGTGAACTCTTAAGAAGGTGGCGAGAGGCCCGTGACTGGCTAAATCACACAGGGAAGGGTTTATTCGAGAGTATGGTGGATGGTAGTGAGGATCCAGAGAAGATAAATCAAGCTGAACAGACGGTTAAAGGTGAGTCCCCGTCTCTCCCTTCTCCCTTCTCCCCTTCTCCCCGGATACCTCCTGTGACCTGTGTATCATCTGTCTCCTGGCTGTTCATCACTCCTATGCTTCCTTAGCTGATCTGCAGCCACTGTACTGAAGAAGTGTCCTGAATATGACTCTGTGGACCCCATATTTGCCGAAAGAGACAGCGGGACAGAATCCCTTCGCACAGGTACCACCGGAAATTCGAATGTCACACTCGAGACGATTATGAGGGGTTCTCACCACCCCTCTCCTTCTCCTGAGAGATCTCCACACTCTCCTAGGCCTCCATCACCATCTCAGATGTCATTGAATGACTTCCTAGGCCAGCAAGAGTCTCAAACTGAAGATACATCGACTCAGAGCGAAAATACACGTCCTGCGACTAGGGAACGCAGTTTTAGTGATCATAGGCTGACCAAGCGAGCTGCAGGTACGTCAGGCACGGTGACATGGACTGCATAGCCACTAAGGTCAGGGTATAGCTGATTTACAGGCCTTTACACATCGTCCAGGAGGGGGGAAGGAAAAAACAATGCTGGAGGTATTGCGGGGTTGTTTGAGGAGATTGCTGCAAGCAGAAGGGAGGAGATAGGCCTAGAGAAGCGTAAGCTAGCTATCCAAGAGGAAGAAAGAGAAGATTCGAAGAGACAGAGGAAGGAAAGGGCTAAAAATGAGAGGTTGGTCATAACATCGAAGGAGGCTCAAGCTCGTCTCACTGCAGAGCAAGGACTACCGGTAGAACTTTGTGTTTCCTGGGTTCAGGCTATCGCAGATGCAGAGGAGAGGTATGATAGAGCTCACAGGGACAGAGAAGAAGGGGAAGGAGACGTTCACACCGAATATGATGAGTGGAGCAATTGGTCGGAGAGTGATAGGTAGTTGAAACCACTCACCTTTTTTCATGATAAAATGAAGTTGTCTATGTCGATTTCCTCTGTCTCCAATGCTAACATTTGCTCCACCAACTCATGACGTCTTCTCATGTGTGGCCTGAGACGACCAGCACCTAAGAAATCGTCCTCTGCTACCTCCTCTGCAGGCAGGTCATCTCGAAGTGGTTCAATTGGTAGATTTCCAGTATTTTCTTCGGTGTAATATTCGTCGGTGTTTATGAGGATGTTGTGGAGAATTGTACAGGCTACAATGATTGCGTGAGCCATAGCTTCGTCTCTTTTAGTTCGAAGTCTCATAGACATTGATCGAAGTATCGTCCATCGAGCCTTTAACACACCTATTGAATGTTCGACCCCTACCCTCATGACAGAGGCTCGAGAGTTGAAATACACGGTTTTACCTCGAAGAACCGCTTGGCCAGCACTCTTTTTAAACATTGGTACGACGACAGACGATGCTGTAAAGCCAGAATCAGCCAGGAGGTACTCCTGGTTGCTGAAATACTGAGAGGGCGTGTTAAGGGGTTCGATAGCTCGCTGAACTCGTTGATCGCTGCTGGAAGCGGGATAGCCGTAATGAATATATCGAAAACGCTTTGTATGATGGACGATAGCCATGACATTGAAGCCATACCTCTCCTTGCGGCTATGATAAGCCCCTGCATCATCTCTAGCAGGAGCAGTTGAGAGGTTCACATGATAGCCGTCGATGAGGCCTACGCAGTGAGGAATTGAGTATTCAGAGAGAAATCGAGCTTTGATTTCAATTCTTTCGGTGGGGGACGGCCAGGAGATGAAGTAAGATCGTTTTTTCAGTATAGCAATGAGGGCCCGGTCACACCACTTGAATACAGTGCCGGCTAACTAATTAGCAAAATGGACAGAGCAATTGGAAGGAAAACTTGCTTGAGACCCCGAACTCGCAATCTAATGTCCTGCAGTCATGTCCATGAGCCATTCGGTAGACCAGTAACCCTATCTGATACTTTGGTGGGGCCTGAGGCTTGTTTCCTCTTGAAAAAAAGACAGGGTCCTCCTTGAAAAAATCGACAATGTCATCAAGATGGCTAGGGGACATGCGAAATGCTTGTTTATGACGAATGCCTCGTTCTGCAAAGAGGAGAATGTCACTGTGGTAGAAAGAGGGTCAGGGAAGATTGTTAGAGACAGTCGGGTATCGATCTAAGTAACGATTTGCTGAGATTTGTTGATGTGCTTGAATTATGTCTTCCAAACAGGCCCTTGAGGTATGATCGTCCAGCAGAGGAAACAGAAGCAATGCGGCATCTTCTAAATCGTGCAGGAGGTGAGCTCGAGGGGTTTTGGAAGGCATGACACGAAATCCGAGGGGTTTTGCTTAGTAGATAGTTGAGAAATGCAATGGCCGAGATACATATACATAAACCTGCATGAGATGACATGGGGGAGGACGCGAAGGAGGGGTTACACGTGGCATTTTCTACCTCACACGTGGCATTTATGACATAAAAATGGCTCGTTATCACGGGTGTTCACTTATCTGTGATAATGTCGCGACTAGCCATTATAGAACTGAGCACCCCTAGTGTTACGGTGGCCCGATGGTCCTTCGAACTCCATCATTTTCAGTTTTGCGTTTTCATTCCCGATGATATCCTTTCTTTCCCTATAACTCATGCATGCATCCACTTAGAGACATGTTCAGACCACTGTTAGGATCCTACAGGCTGTAGCTACACCCCAGTACTATGTATATCTCTTGGAGGTTCCTATGGAAGAAGATCAAATACTCGATCCCAAATGTGGCACTATACCTTGCCTATAGGGGAGTCCGCCTTCCACCCTCTAACTTACCCCTACTTGTAGTCCTCAGATCCTCTTGCTCTCATTGCTTCTGAGACCTGTGAGGAGGTAGGTTGCTGCATACTGCATGTAGTATCAAGTATGAAGCTGATAGTCTTTTCCTGAAATTGCGTCTATCATTGATTTTGAGTAGCAGCTAGTGGTACTATCACCCTAACTACTCATACTTGTGATAGAGCTCATATAGCCCTGCTGCCTACTTGGTTCCCTCTGTAGATACATGCATAAGATTCAAAGTATACATTCCTTACTATCTGATGAGCATACATGCCGAGTTGTGGACCTTGAGAGTGTCTTGTGGCTGAGTGATGCAGCGCATACTTTATGGATTTCATCACAACATCAGCAGAATGGAGAACGCGGAATGAAATTTGCACAATGCGAAGGACTATCGGGCCACCGTAAGTGTGGCAGTGTGGCAGTGTGGCAGTGTGGCAGTGTGGCAGTGTGGCGATTCCCCCTTTTCTTGTCGCGTGTCGCGGACGACCAAGATCAGTCGGACCGCAGGAAGAACGGGGCAGTGCATGATCGTGGAGGACATTCTCACGTCAAAACCGAGAGGCGATGAGGAGTTAGAAGACCACACACCCTTGGCAGGCTATAAGAAGAAGGAAAGTGGCCAATCACAGCTCTCCAACACCCAGGAAAAAGTTACCAGACTGAACATCTGTATCACCAATGACCAACAGCTGGATTGAGAATGTTGCAGTAGCTCATGTTGTAAGTCAGCTCCCCAGACTGCTGGGTTTGTTCAATGAATCATGGCCTCCAGAGAAACGTGAACCGACTTACACAGAAGAAGTCGGAATATACTGGGGAACCAAGCGTGGAATTTCCAAATTCCAAAGCAGTGCTGCATGTCGACGTGAGCGTTCTGCCTATCAGTTCTACTCGACTTTTTTAAGCTACCATCACGGACAACCAGTCACTCATGTATGGATTACTTCTTGCAATACACAGGACCCCTCATAGTCGAGCCAAGAATAGCGCTGACCCACCAACAGAACGACGCTGAACAGCCGGAAATCGTCAGAGACCCAGAAGCAGAACCTCCGATTTGATTCGAGTCCATCGGGTTTGATATCGCGCATACAACTTATGACACACCAGATTACCTACTTGACATTGATAGAGTGAGAGAGAAGGTAGAGTAAAAGTTTAAACTCACATTTCTTCGTCATTTACAACTTCCGAGGACATGTTGCGTTTCATCTGCTCCAGATATCAGGGATCAGGAAGCAATGGCCAGACCTCTCAACCAACAAGATATCATCGCTCATCGTACATTCGGGCGAGAGGTCTTAAGAAACAATGTCTTGAGAGTTGGCTGGCCAGAGGTTCTGACCAAGGTCAGGGCGGAGAGACTAAAGCTTGGTCAAGACAGTCTGACTTCTGACGTGGAAGTAGTTCTGCTCTGCTATGATGATACTTTGGAGTTCAGATATGTCCCCTTGAGCACGAGTCCACCCGAGGAGATCCCGGAGAACAGCGGCACAAGTAACCCGGGGGATGATTGACTGGTTTCCATTGAATACAGTAGGATCAAGCTATCGCTGAAAGCCTCCGCCTATCAGAGGAGATATGACGCAGGATAGGGGAGTATCATCATGAGGAGGGAGATCTTTGTACACGTCCAAAGTAAGCAGGTTGGAGAGATGATAACGAGTATGTTCTCCCCATCAGATCGATCAAGCCACTATAAGTACCTACGCCACGGCTAGATACAGTATCATTATGTGCTGACCATACTCAACCTGTACATTAAATACCACCATGTTGCATGTTTTCAATCGCTCTACCGACATCTCATCACTTCTTTGAATCACATCATTCAAGAGGGACGGAAATACAGCATCATCTTTTATTGCGACCAGGATCTTCTCAATTGTTTATCTTGTACATGGCGCACATAGGTCCCATGTCTCACATTGCAACATTATCGTTCTTCGTCCTCACGGGACCTCTCAGTTCCATATCAATACGTGGTGAACTTGCGCTTCCTTCATTCCCCAGTCCCAGACTGTGAGGTGAACCAAATAGGAACAGAGTGCCAAAGCGTTTGGAATGAATCGTCGAACATATCATGGGGTTGCTCTTTCTTGCCCCACATGAGAGCCATGGGTCTTTTTGGCCTGCGATGATTCCGAAGGCGGACTTTGCCAGAATGAGAGGGAAGGAGGAGTGGCGTTTGTCCAGCCACTGCATGTAGGAGATCATCAAAACACTTGTAAAGGCCCCAACAAGCTACCGTTGAGACTGCTGAGTATGCACCATAATTTGTGGGCGTAGCAGTCCCAAAGTTGTCATCTGCGACTAACCGGTAGGTATGTGTGTTGAGATATGAACCCATATTCTAGAAACATACTGTAGCCTGGATTTTTCATCTGGCCTGATGCCATGACGATTTGAGGCTGAATATCCAGGACATGAAGAGATAAACTAGATGTGTGACAATATCTTTAGGGTGTGCAACAGCCGTGTCACCATGTCAGGCGGGCAGCAGGGAGCTTGTGAAAGACGCTACCTACGTAATGGGTGGGTAGGGGAAGCCGCTTGGGGGACGAGGCCGGGGGGGGAGGGGGGAGGGGGGGGGGGGGATTGTTTTGCTGATAATTAGACAGCATGCATCAATTCTACATGTCTCTATACTTATCACATTCCACTCACACACAGTAAACCAGAGACAATCGAATAGAGTTCAGAGGATAAGGTAAACGGAGAAATATTCGACGGAAGGGGTAATTATCTAACGGGGGTTCGGCCGTCTTGGCCCGATTCTATTGTGGCCTTGGGGAAGCCCCATCCCACGAGAAGGTCTGCTTACGTGAAAACCCTAGCCAGTAGGAGACTGGGTATGACATAGTTAAAAGGAGAGTCACTCATGAAATAGATAAAGGAGGCAGAAGCACTGCCTTGAGTGTAGGCACCTTAGTCACTATGAGAAGATCAGGAAAGAGTGGAGCATAAAACCTTGACAATCAGACCAAGTGTTCTCCATATAAATCAGAGTTCCTAACTTTTGATACCATCCATTACGAAATGACAACATCTACGTCTGAGTCGAGTTGGAAGCCTGCTCAAGGACTCAATAGAGAGTGGTCACAACAGGAGTGTTTACCAGGTGGGACGGTACAAGCTCATGCTTGCACAGAGATCACAGAGTGGTTGCCACAAGATGGTCCCGAGAGATTGCTTCAGGGAGGAGGTGTCACGAACTACGTCGTGACACCTCGATTATTCCACCACCTCAATTATTCCACCAGCAATGACCCTCCTTTGACCATCAAAACCCCTATCACACCTTAACTCTTTACTCTACACGTAACTCAGGACATCTGAGACCAAGTACGGCGAAGTTAGATGGAGTTAGGCTAGGTAGGGACAATGGAAGCAGAAGTACGGCGAAGTTAGACGGAGTTAGGCTAGGTAGGGACAACGGAGGCAGAAGTGCGGCGATGTTAGGCGGAGTTAGGCTAGGTAGGGACAACGGAGGCAGAAGTGCGGCGATGTTAGGCGGAGTTAGTCGAAGGAGGAAGAGGATGGCCGAGGGCTCGGGGAAGTTGGACGAAGTGCGTCGAAGTACGTCAAAGCGCGAGAGGGTTGGATGAACGTCTAGGAGGAATAAACAATATTAGCTGAGAAGATCGCTGAAGTTCTTCAGCGATCCTTGATTGTTGTCAGTAGTGAAAGATAGATAGAGATAGCTATTTACAAATCGAGATACATCGCCATCAGTAGAACAAAACCCCAGTTAGAGTAACCACGGCGAAGTACGCCGTCGTTACACCCCTTTCGACGTCTGCGCCCTCCCGGTTGGGTGAGACATCGATCAAGAAGGATCAAGTTAGCCGAGGTTCGTCGACCGTCGGTCTATTAGGAAGTAGTTGCTCGACGGGCGTGACAGGAGGTACGGTATGTAAGAATTTCCTGTAGTCCAATCTTCCAAATCGAGAAGGTGTTTTGTCTGATTTTTCAAAGTACAGGCTCATGCTAATCAGCACCAGGTGACGATCAAATCCCCTATCAGTCACAGTGAAGCCAAAGGGGTTTCCCACACAATATCCGTCGTAGCGTTTGCACACCTTTCGAAGTACGATATTGTCGTGTCACACTCTCTACGGGCAATCCGTAACAACGTTCTGGACAAAGGTGATCTCCAACCTGCAGTGTACACTTACACAATCAAACCCTTCGTTGTCCCACCTTCGGTGATGGAAGATTTACCAGATCTGCTTCTCAGAACTGTTATCCGTGAAGCACTCATCAATTTTTGTAGCTCCCGAGAGATTCACCCAGGCTTACAAGACCCTTCCGAAACGCTTGTAGCATACAGATCATCGACACATAACCCTCTGTCAGGGATAATTATCCCCTCGTCCCGCCTGGGCATTAACTTTGGCCATGTGCAGCCCGAGTGACCTGTGCAGTTACAGGTAACTTGAATGGTTCCTGAAGTACTATCTCATTCCCAAACTTACAGGATGGAAGAGAGGTACAAGTAGCTCTCTGCTGTCATGTGGAGGTACAGAGTCCACTGTAAGCCCCTCTCTGATTGAAACACGGACACAAGTATGGAATCCAGTAGACATCAGGAATGAATTGACTGATGCTTCATGCTAAAGGTTCTATAAAACACAGACCTTACCATGTCCGTATGGCACTCTTTGTCGTGATTGAATGTGTGCAAGTGGTGCACATGTAGACTGGAGATCAGAATAGGCATTTCCATTGGTATATATCACAATGAAGGTTATCACGTTGTCATGACGTGGTCATGAGTCAGATGAGTAGGGCATCTCCAAATGCTTGAGGTCAACCTTCAAGGAGGAGTGGATCTCTTTGGACAGTCCTGCCCAACAGTAAAACATTCCTGCGGAACTTACCTTTGGTGACCTACCTGCTTGGGAAGGTCACCAATGTGAAAGCCAGGTAAGTCGGCGCTAGGGGGGCATGATCCTTCCGCAATGAAGTTAATGTCTCATATCCCTATACAGTTGAGGGATCTGATGTAAACTAGAGAATATCTACCTTGAGCTGGCTGAGCCTTAGGGAGAGACGGGCACCATGGCTGTTGGGGACACAGCCGGAGACGGTCCTCTCTGGAGCTGCACGGACCCCATGGTTCCCAGCCAGAGACAAATCACTCCAGAGGTGAATGCGCGGCCTACCATTCCCGTTCAGAGAAATGGTTGAAGTATCTCTTCAAGAACAGATCCTACATTTGGCGGAGGAAAAGCGTGACTAAAACAGGTGCTCAAAGCATTGTCTATGGTGTTCTTCTTATGCCCACGAGAGAAGAGAGAAGATGGAGAAGTGGACATTCCATATGACTCCAAGATAACATATGCCATCATAACTATATCAGTTGTGGAATGGTTCAGTCCTCCCTAATGGACTCAAGTCTGTTGCGTTTTACATATGTAGATCCTTACAGACATCTTAGTGAGACATACCAGATATCATCTAGGAAGGAGGAAATGTGATAACCAAGGGGTCAGAGGTACCCACCGTAGGTCCGCAGAAAATGCCCTGAATGGGACTAGACTCCTCGGGAGGTGCCTGTTTGTCTCGCTGTGTCCAAAGGGGGTGTTTTGAACCTTGCAGCTCCAGAGGTGAACGTCTCCAGCTGTGTCCCTAACAGGTACAACTTTGTATAATCTCTGGTCAGCTGTCAACGAGTGTCAGGGATACTGCCCACCCTGAGACAGAGGACAAAGGACAAGGGGACAAGGACTAGGAGTGACAAGGAATATACTTAAGATAACAAGACCCTGAGTCCAACAAGGAATGGGACTGTGACCCAAGGAATGTCTCTGGCTTGTCTGACAAGACTAGAGGGAACTGGACTGGACTGGACTCCAAAAGGGTGGCAATGGAAATGACTTTTGATCAAGAACTAAAGAAGACTACAAAGTACAAGATAGGGTTTATATAGACAAATCAGCCTTTTCCAAGAGGCTCGTGCAGACCTGTGGAATACCAGCGCTCTGAACCGTCCTGCACTGTCCTACATGCATTGCCATGCATCCCACCGATTACCACTGATATCCTACAATGCCATATCTGCGTTTACCTACGTCCTACTATGTCATCCTACTGGATGCGCCGGAAGTCGCTTGACTTTGTCGAAGTTGGTTGATGAGGAACTATGAAGGACTACACAGAACATAGAAGTGCTGTGAGAACAAGAGACTGAGAGATTATGCCTTAGCAGGCATTAGAACAGAGGAACTAGAGACTAGAGAATTTCTGGGGACTTATGCCTTGCAGGCATGGGAGCTAAGCACCGACATACTAGAATGATACTTGGAGTTTATGCCTGATAGGCATGAGAGCAGAGGTGAAATATTAAAACACGAAAGTGGAGGTTGAACTTGTTTTGCGCAACACGGAACATGTGATGGCGTGATTCATGACAACGAGACAATGAGGAAAGTGAACGCACATTATCTACAGATGACGGTGAGAGTATCAATACCTGAATCTGACATTCCCATGGAGCAAATTTGAATAGTTTGTAAGGATCTTGAAGTCAACTTTGCAGCTTCTCTGATGGAGGAACAACTGATTTAGGGGATCACCTGGAGACCCTCTCATGTGCAATGGAATCACTTGAGTTTATCTAAGTGTCACGAACCATGTTGTAACATCCCTGACAACCACCATCACCAACCCTCCGTTCACCATCACCAAACCACTATCCATCACCACCCCGATCCACTGAGACCAGCTACGACAAAGTTACGAGAACCTAGGGATTATTTGTCACAACAACCCCGCCTAACGGAGAACTACGGCGAAGTTAGGAGAAGGAAACCGAGGGAAAGTAGAGTAGGCAAAGTTAGGCGAAGTTAGTTGAAGTGAGCGGAGTAGAATATTGGGGATATGGCGAGGTACGGCGAAGTTGAGCAAAGAGGACTGAGCGTGAGGCTGTGCAGGAGTTGAGGGACGTTCAATGAGAAGAGAGGAGAAGTATAGATAGTTTACAGATCGCTGAACTTCTTTGGTGATCCTTGATTGTTGTCAGTAGTGTGAGATATATTCAGTAGCTACCACCTAGCAGTTCGACGCACCACGGCGAAGTTCGCCGCAGTTCATCAACAATCATCTTACTGTTTACCACCCGACGTACCACTATGGCGTAGTTAGCCGTAGTTCCCCAACGAGTATCCTGTCTCAGTGAGACATCGACGCCCCACAACGACGTAGTTAGCTGAGGTTTGTTGACCGTTGGTCAGTGGAGAAGATGAATTGATGATTGTGACACTAAGGTTTTCAACCTCCAGCAGCATTTGAAATGATAGTTTACAGTAGGTCAGACCCATACAGTCTTGACTTGTTGGATCATCATCCGGGAAATTCTCCTCCCGAGTTGTGTTGCTCAAGTGACACAAGCCTGATACACTTCTTGTCTGCTTGTGTAAGGTACTGTCAGGACCAGACGTTGAAAATAGTCTGCGTCAATGAGCTATGGCTATAGGGCCCCGTAGGGAACAGACGTAGTGATATAGTAGGTAGTCTAGTGATGTCAAAGATCAAAGAGACTCTTCTGTCGTTGAGATTGAGTGGCAAAAGATTTACACAGTGACAAGAAAATATGTTAAGGACACGGCCCGAGATGTTCACCTCCAGAGGTGCATGGGGCAGTCTGTGCATGGCTGGAGAAGTGCCACTCGGGAGATGAACAGGTCGCTCATACCACTCCGGAGCTGCACGTCTACCCTATCTACTCCATAGACACAAGTTGTGTCTCACTTCATTTGTTGGATTCTTCACTACACATCATGTCTCTCCCGCAAGCTCCATTCTCGGCCCAATTTTAGGAACAGTTCCTTTCCTGGTTGAAGCAGGAGAAACATAGCTACACTCTTGCAGATGATGATGTTCAAGCTCGTTGGTGGGTTCTTAAACACAACGGCAATGCACCTCCACACTTCACACCACCACACAACTCCTGGCTCACCAAAGTTCGTTCACAACATCGGCTCAGTGATGATCGGGCCAACATCCTCTATTGGGTATCTAAGAATGGCACCGAATGGTATAAAGTGGTACCCATGTCTCAAGTTGTGATCAAACACATCCAGTGCCTGCACACTACCCATTCCGGTCAGAGCAAGACATATGATGAGATAGCACGACATTATGGGGGAATTGGTAGGAAGGAAGTCATCAAAGTGGTTCAAGCTTGTAATATCTGCATGCTCAAGTGAGTTTGACCATGAGAACTCACCTGCTGATGTACTTAGGGTTCGGAACAAGGATCATGGGGGCCTCAAACCAATCATCTCTCATCAGCCTCCTGAAAGAATACAAATTGATCTAGTGGACATGCGCGCAGTGGAATGTGTTACAGCAGGCCAAAGAATGTGATGGATCTGTCATATCAAGGACCATTTCACAAAATATTGTCAGATGGTGAGCTTCTCTACCAAATCCCCCACTCTAATCTTGCTGACCGTAGTACGCCATGCCGACAAAGAGCGCTAGATATGTTGAAAGTCATCTGATGACTTGGATCAATCATTTCGCAGCGCCAGACATTCTTCAGTCTGACAATGGGAGGGAATTTTGTGACACTCTCATAGTGACTCTTGCCAAGCGGTATGACATCAAGGTTCAACATGGATTGCCCGGCACTCCCCAGGTCCAGGGTCTTGTGGAACAGGGTTATTCCACCATGAAAAGTTGACTGTCAAAATGGTGTCTCGATAACCCTGCTCGCCCATGGTAGGTCCAGCCTGATTGATTGATGAGCTGATAGTTGTAGGGCCGAGGGGTTACCCCATGTCGTACGTTCAATCAACTTTACAAAACATAGTTCAACCTTACACACCCCTTATCAGGCAGTGTTTGGCCGTAAACATCAAGAGATGAGAATGTGGGAGACTTTGGAAGGGCGAGATGAGATTGAAGAGGTCATACTTGGTGAAGGAGATCCAAAAGAGGATACAGGTGAAGGGAATGAGGTGAAACATTTTCAATGGGAGAGCAATGAGGACTCCAGTGAAGGCAATCCAAACTTAACAAATACAACAGACACAGTTGCCAATTGTGAGTCAATAATACAATTTTCAAATATATCTGATAGGCAACAGATATTCAAATACTCGTCACCTGTTACTCGCGCAGCACTACCTTGATAGTGATGCATACCACTTACCCGTTACTCGCTCAGTGTCACGAGGACCAACTAACCAGCATTGGCTTGATATAACAGTGCCCAACGGAACAGTGATGTTAACCACTGCGACGAAAAGGCCTATTAATCGGCGGTTAACCTTACCGCCGATCGCTGGTTAAATACCCTTCCCCGACTTTTGCTCGACTTGTCACACACTTTGTGACACTGAGCACTACCCTGAGAGTGATGAGGAGCAACAGGTTCACCATGAGACTATATCACAGTTGTCGGTGTTAGCCTCGGTCATACCTTAGTGGCAGAGAGACACGTGAGCACACCACCTAATTATCTCCAACGATAGGAACAGCAAATCACAACCAGATTCCATTGTTGGAATCTTCCACTCCGGAGAACAACCCAATCCAGCAAATTATTGAAGCGGATCGTCAGCAACAACCCAATCCCAGTGTGGTGGATCGTATCCTGGCTCAGATGCAAGCTCATCAAGTCATTGTCCGACAGAAGATGGTCAAACAGTATGGCAGGAAGCACAAGAGATTGGAGTACAGCACTGGTGATAAAGTCACACTCTTTGTTCCAGAGCTTGATTGCCCTGGGGCTCCTGCTAGCCGGATACCCTGTGTGGTCTGCGAAGTGTTCTCTGATAAGCCAAATACCTATCAACTACTCTGCTCTGAAGGAGTGTTGAGCTGCTTGTACCGAAGTAAATTCTTCATTCCAGCCGATGATTACGAAATCCCTGTGGAGCTTTCCATGGGTTGGTCAAAGTGGGAGCAACAGCAAGTGGTCACATTGAGGGATGCCGCATACAAAATCTTTGGTGAGTCCAGGTACTGCTGATTTCTGTTTTCCGACAATTAGGGCTGAAGAAGATTGAGGTGAACTGTTGCTGAAAAGGTGAATGTGCTACCACACGCTGCCAGTGTCAACAGAAAGGTGTCAAGTGTGGCCTGTACTGCTATGGTACAGAACGAGAGTGTGAGAACTATTCAAGGGCCACAGCCACTGAGCGCACATTGGTCGTTCTATCTGCAAATAGTAGAAGACAGAAGAAAACTACAACCCGGACACAAAAGAAACAACCAACAGTTGACGTGGAGGAATCAAGCGCTTCTGAAAGTGATACCAATGGTGAGTTATGTATCATTCTTTGAATGTGTGCTGAAAGCAGAAGACTCCCCCGTAACTGCACCAACTTTTGATCTAAGAAGTCCTACTGAAACTGACGATGAGTCTTCTACAGGAAGTGGAACATCCGTAACATGTCGCAAAAGAAGAAGAGCAAGAACTCCATGACCTGAAGAAGATGAATCACTTCAAAACTGGAGTGATCTTGATGATGACGGTATACCATCCTTGTTTTGGCACAACTGCTCCCCATTGGATGAATTCCCCGAATATGTTCAGGTGCCTGATGATCTCTGGCGGAAAAAATCTTGGGAGATCAATGGTCAAGTGTGGGCCTTGCCGCGACCTCTGCTGAAACTTTCTCGGAAGTACAAGGTCTGGTTAGGCATCAGTTGTGTGTGCTGTTTATGAGTGGGCAAAGAGGGATTAATCAGCCTGGATATTTCAAAGAGCATTCCGCACGGCAAGAAAGGGTAAAAACAATTGTTCAAGCTCGAGAGGTGTTCCGGGCAAGATATGGCAAAGAATTGGCTTTTGACCGTGAGTGTTGATCCACGAGCCGCACCATATCTGATAGGCAGCGGTGACTGGTCGGTAATCCCATTGTACATGACTTTGCAGAGGCTAGACCTAGACAGAGTATCAAGAGCACAAACTTAAATTTATGCACAAGTATGTATATAGAGATCATGTTTGATGCAGCTATCCCCACCATATGAGCCATACAGCTCCGGAGGTGCATGCTGAGAGAGACATTCAGCTCCAAAGATGCACACATCTCTGGCCATGTACCAAACACATGTTTGAAACCGTGCACCTCCGGAGGTGAACATCTCTGGCCATGGCCTTAACAAGATACATTTGACAACACATCTACAAACAGGGGCTGTTTCTATATAATAAAAAGGAAGTGCAGTGATACCGGAATCTATAGCGCAAAGATGTAAAATGATATGAAATAGATGAGGGACACGGAGATGAAGGAAAAGTATCACGGAATGAAGAAGAAACTAGGTGTAAAAGACCCCGGTGAGATGGCGGGAACGGGAAGGATGGAGTACGACTCCAAGTACGACTCTGAGGCACCCGTGATCCTGACAGCACAACTGCTTTACTTTGTCTCGTCGATTTTGTATGGAACGATGGAAGATATGAAAGCTTACTATCTCCTGATCACTCTGAGACCTTTAAAACCTGACCCCGATATTCCCTTCGAGCAAAGTTGAACTGTTTTCAAGGATCTTCAAGTCTGGAGTCACATGGAGGGAAAACTAATCTAGAGGACCGACTAGCAACCTTTTCATATACAATGTCGAAACCTCAGGCTATCTCAGGTTTTCCTACCTCTGTCAGAAGTCAGGCTGATAGTTTTCAGTCCGGTAAAGCCAGAGAACGTGGACATGTTGAATCATCGGCCGGGGGATCCTCCACCGGAGTCGTGCTGCCAAAGTTACGGAAGGAGGTCTGCTGGTCGTGTTGAATGCTTTCGCAAATTGGGTCCAAGAAAGGAGTGAGGTGCGGTACGACAACGGGGAACGCATATTCACTATCATAGGTGATAATGACAAGGCGGTATGAGAGTGAGGAGGAAGATGGGCCTCCAGAGGAAGCCTAACTCGATCAACTGATGGATTTACATGAAGTAACCATCCTTTGCCTGAAATACGTCATTTTGGACATTATCTCCACTGATAAGGAGAAGGGAAAGTAAAAGGCCGAAAATGGGCGATGTGAAGTAAGTGAGTGGTTTCCCGATTGGGAAAGTGCATGATCCGTATCATACTGTCCTTCAGGCAATGCAGAGGGGGCTTCTCATCTTCCCATGAATGATAAAAGGAACGATGAGGGTTTTCCAAGCCAGTTTGACAATTGAAATCCTCTGAGGGTTATGAATACTTGCTTGGGTGGCAAAACCAGCACTGATCTTGATTTCGTCCATGGTGAGTTCAATGCAAGACCAAATCTTTACTTGTCAGGGCCAGACGTTGAAAATAGTCTGCGTCTATGAGCTATGGCTATAGGGCCACGTAGGGAACAGACCTAGTGATGTAGTTTATAGTCTAGTGATGTAGTGGAGCGAAGAGACTATAAGTCAATGAGATCAAGTGGCAAAAGATTTGCTAAGTGACAAGAAAATACATTGGACAAGACATCTACAAAAAAGGGCTGTTTCTATATACTAAAAAGGGGGCGGAGTGATACCGAAATCTACGGAGTAAATGTGGAATACAATATGGGGTGTAAGAGCGAAGGACGACAGAGATAGATGAGGGACCCGGAGATGAAGGAAAAGTATAGCATGGTAAAGAACTAGCGATTAGGTAGGACAGGAGAACGGAAAACGCCATAGCGGGATTAGTGAAGCGGGGACGGGAACGGGCATGTGAAGTACGACTTCTGCATACGACTCTTGAGGAACCCGTCTATAGGTACCCATGAGCCTGACATTACTGCAGCGGCTATAACTCTGGCGGCTTGGGTGGTAGCAGAAAGCCACTGGCGGGAGAACAGGGTAGCATACAGGTTGACCTCACATCATTGTTGGAAAGCGAACCCGGTTTCCTTCTCGGAAACAACCTTAACTTCAAAGGTGAATCTACCTCATTCTTCCATCATTCTACATTGTTTTGAAAAAAAAAGAGTAAAAGTTTGAAGCTGATCAGCTATAGTTGACAGTGACACGCATTGGATCAGATGTGGAGTCGTTAATCGGAAGGAAATTTTCTGTACAATGCCATGTTCAGTTGTCATCCCCGTATTGGAGTATCCATACAAATCGACTGTTGAAGGAATTTGAATCAACAGTAAAGTCACGTTTTGACGAGCAAGGCTGTTCACCTCCCTCAGAGTTCGAGCTTCTTGCTTACACCAAAGTGGACAATGCACCCATGTTGACAGATACTATAAAAATGCAAGAAGAACCTCCCAAGTCATGTTGTCCAAGTGACGTTAGCTTGTTGGCTGCCTTGAATATGTACGTGCGTGATGCGGAACATCTCTCATTAGAATGACAGTGTGGAGAAGGTCAACCTACTTGTTATCAAGTCAGACAGTGAAATCATTTTGTGAACATGAATAAGACATCCTTTATTTCGGGGGTGACATTGCTTACGGTGTCACTTGGTAAGGAACTGAGGGTGACGAACGATCAGACCAAATTCGGATTACCCACCGAATCATTGTAGGGAGTTGAGTTGTACCTTGATTATGTCTATGCAAAGGCAAGGGTTCTCACCTACAATTGCTCACGCAACTCACCCCGTCAACTGTGTTCCGTGCGATCAATCATTGCCAATGCTAGAGTCATGAATCTACCGTGGGTCATGACCATGTACCCGTGACCCTCTAAAGTGTCATGATCTTACCCCTTGACAATTCGAAGTTGCACGGATCTTCGTCCTGTCGCGCTGACCCCCACGAAGCCGCCTAAGAGGTATGTTTTCATAGCATAAAGAAGGCTTCATCATGAAATCATGAAAGAAGGGAGGGAAAAGAAGTCAAAGTACTGCCTTGAGAGAAGGCGCCTCAGTGGCCATGAGAGGATTTACATAAGCAGTGGGAATTTCAAGATTTGCAAGCAGTACTCTTCTATGCTTATTATTATGTTCATTGGTGATATTACCTATCTCTGAATGTCAAAGTCCAAGAGAACTCAACGGGAAACCTGGGTGAAAGCCGAACCTCTCAATCGAAGGTGGACGCAAGAAGAACATGACTCTGTAACATCCATCTACGCTTCCGCTCGGACGCAGCTGGACCAAGACAAATCATCACATGACTCTAAGAGATCTTTCAGGGGAGTAGGAAAGGTATGTTTGAGTAAGGAAGCCTCATTCTATCTCAATGCCCCATTGTCAGTTTAAATTGAAGCATCATGAGGTAGTACTGCTTGCTGCCTGAATTGCGCCAAAAGATATGTATACTGACACGATTCAGCTTACAATCACATCCCTTCCTGTTGACGGTACAGTTGGAACAATTCATCGCACACTGTGTCTCCAAGGATTTGCACCGATGAGTGATTATGATCACGATACTTCAAGCCTTCTAAGAGCACTCCGTGACCACATTTTGCCAACTTCGACCCCCATATCTGCATGTCGGGTATACACTATCCAGCCGGTAGACGTTGACTTCTCTCAAATTGAATATTTTCCGGACCTCCTTCTGAGAACCATTGTGTGTATAGCACTCAGGGAATTATGTGAACAACAAGGGATTCACACAGGCTCACAAGCGAGCTACAAGGGCTTTGTCAAGTTACAACCAGAGCCAGAGCCATTAGCCCCTAATCATCTGGAATCGGTCATTATCCCCTCATCCAGCCTGGATCTGGGCTCTCACCATCAAGCACTCTCTTCAGATACCCTCATATAGCTTGTCTCAAAGATGAAGAGTCAGTCATCTCCAGATTTAAGGATCACTGTGATTTGTGCATACATGTGGGCAAAGCATGTCATCATTTCAGGGATGGAGATCGTCCAGTTTGGTCAAAAAACCACATTTTTTTTGCCAACCTGGTGGAAAGTGCTACTTCTTTATATGATGGTCACAAGTCACTTTCACTCATACATACAAATTAGAAGCGGATCGATAGATCGGGATTAGATGGATGTACATAAGTGTCTTATGACTTTAGCCATGCATACCATAAGCTGAGTGCGGTAAAGCACATCAAAGTTGACTACCATGATTCACCTGCTAAATTACTATGCAAGCGGACGCATGACTTTCTGGACCCAACTGTGAGGTACCATGCACTGAGGGGGGAGCAACCTCACGACAACGGGGAGCGTATGTTCATCACTAAAGAGGTGACATGACCGCGGACGTATGCACGAAGATGTTCAACTGATGGGCTTACATAAACGTAATCATTCTCTGCCCGGAACATGTTGTCATGACCGGGTCGAGAACCTGCGATCATGAACCCTACTAAAAAGCTGAATATCAACTCTGCTAGTGAGAGATGATCTTGCTATAAGTACTGGTTGTGACCCATGTCCTCTTGGACATTATCCCCACAAGTGAGAAGACCGGGAAATGAACGGCCGAAGGATGGACGAGACGGGCGGACGAGAAGACGTAACTGGGGCTTTTCCCGATGGGGAAAGTTCAAGATCCGTATCATGCTGTCCAATGGGGCAATGCAGAGAGGTTTCTCATCTTCCCATGGGTTCATGAAAAGAGAGATAAGTGTTTTCTGGCCAGTGGTAGAAGTAGAGCTCCACTGAAGATTATATATTCTGGTCTAGGTGGGGTCTGGGTGGCAAATTTGACTTTGTCTTCATCTAGTCCATAATGTATCTCATAGGTAATTCAACCCATGAAGCTTTCAATGAAGTTCTCTTGGGGATAACCCTGTCCTTGCTAGCTGAGAGTTACAGAATCTTCCCTGAACCCCCAGAGTGTTTGACCGATCCCCCCAGGTATACAATGAAGATTGAACATCATATCTGGGGTTCAAGAGACGGTAACAAACTGGTGTCTCAAGTGAGTTGGTCTTGTATCATGCACCACCTTTTCCCATCCATTCATATAAGTGCAACACTTATGATGAACAGCTCACTTTGAAAATCGATAACTCACTTTCTGCATCAGACAACGAACCAGAGATTGCTCGCTCTGATGACAACAGGGGATGGTATCATACCTTAAGAGAACACTCCACAATTGTGGTACCCGAAGGTACTACTATCACTGGCGAGCTGGAGACTTTTGGACAAAATATACAGAGACTTGAGAATAAAGGTTTCCGAAAGTGTTCTTCTTTCATCCTACGAGTTGAGACTGAGCTGATGCGTGATCCAAGTTTGCAACATTCTGTAGGTACCATAGCAGAACGACCTGAACCGCCTGACGAGTTACGCATGATATTGTCACGAACTACGTCGTGACACCTCGATTACTCCACCAACAATGACCCTCCTTTGGCCATCAAAACCCCATCACGCCTTAACCTCTTTACTCTACACGTAACTCAGGACTTCTGACACCAAGTACGGCGAAGTTAGACGGGGTTAGGCTAAGTAGGGACAATGGGAGCAGAAGTACGGCGATGTTAGGCGGGGTTAGGCTAAGTAGGGACAATGGGAGCAGAAGTGCGGCGATGTTAGGCGGAGTTAGGCTAAGTAGGGACAATGGGAGCAGAAGTGCGGCGATGTTAGGCGGAGTTAGTCGAAGGAGGAAGAGGATGGCCGAGGGCTCGGGGAAGTTGGACGAAGTGCGTTGAAGTACGTCAAAGCGCGAGAGGGTTGGATGAACGTCTAGGAGGAGTAGATAATATTAGCTGAGAAGATCGCTGAAGTTCTTCAGCGATCCTTGATTGTTGTCAGTAGTAAAAGACAGATAGAGATAGCTATAAATCAAGATACATCGCCATCAGTAGATCAAAACCCTAGTTAGAGTAACTACGCCGAAGTACGCCGTAGTTACACCCCTTTCGACGTCTGCGCCCTCCTGGTTGGGTGAGACATCGACTCAGAGCGTGAAGTTAGCCGAGGTTCGTCGACCGTCGGTCTATTAAGAAGTAGTTGTTCGACGGCCGTGACAGTAATCTGTCACGAGACCAACTAACCAGCATTGGGACGATATAACAGTGCCCTTCAGAGGCAGCGGTCTAAACCACTGTGCTAAAAGGCCTATTAACCGGCGGTTACTGCATACCGCCGGTCGCTGGTTAAATACCCAACCCATCCTATCACTATCACTATCAAACTGTCTTGTCACTTCGTGACATTATGCCTTCCCTTTCAGCCCCATCTGGGGCCCCAACAGGGAAGGGTACGATAGGCCGAAAACTTTCTCCGAGAGGGAGGTTTTCCAAGTAGGGACTGAATTTGACCCAGCCCACCCTGGGAGTCGAACCCAGGATCCTACCCGTAACCGCCGGTTAATCTGTCACGAGACCAACTAACCAGCATTGGGACGATATAACAGTGCCCTTCAGAGGCAGCGGTCTAAACCACTGTGCTAAAAGGCCTATTAACCGGCGGTTACTGCATACCGCCGGTCGCTGGTTAAATACCCAACCCATCCTATCACTATCACTATCAAACTGTCTTGTCACTTCGTGACAGATATATTTACTGAATCACACATTAGTCGACATTTTTGGGCGATGGCTGATGGAGGGGACGGATGATGTTGCCCCGGATGACCGTTCTGTCAGAATGCCGGGGACATACGTGTGACACAGACAGAGAGCCTTGAGAGGAGACTGAATTAATTCAATTGATGAACCCACATACATTTGTTGGGAATTTATCAAGGATGATGATGATGATGATGCAGCAGTAGAGAGAGTTTTCATGGTTGCCACATTACCTGCTCCAGCATGTCCAGCGTGCAGTCCAGTCGTGTTCGGTGCGATATGGACCATTGCCAACGCCGACGCCGAGGTGTGTTTCGAGTTCTTAGCCGAAGTGGTGCCCCACCTTTCCTCCGTCGATCCCGCTTCGGTCATCGGCATCGAAGGTGGGGGTGGTATGGTATATAGCATAAGCTACTGTGCACAAAACTGTCTTTCCATCATCCCTTCCAGCTTGACCGTCCATCATTACCGAGTGACATTCGAGCAAGATAGAACTACAGGTGTGAGGTGAAACAGGATGACCGAGATATCTCTCCGGGGTCAGAACAAAACAGCCGTGTTTCTCGGAGGAACACAAGGTATGGGTGCTGCTTGTGCTAGATTACTGGCAAAGTTGGGATGCAGCGATATCGTCTTGGTTGGTAGAAGTGAAATCAAAGGGGAAGAACAGGTGAAAAAGATACTTGAGATTAATAATGAAGTGAAAGTGGTTTTCGTAAAGGCTGACATGGGGTGAGTTGTTGTGTATAATCGATTTTCTACTCAATCATGTCTTCTAGATCACTGATGTCAGGACTCTGAAAGGGATGAGAACAGCTGCGGAGGATATAATATCAGTGGTGGAAAAGATTGATTATTTGGTCATGACACAAGGAGGTACACCTTCCATGACTCATTTGGAAAATGAAGATGGGTGAGTGGTTGTGTTTTCCTCTCTTTCACTTCCCATCCTACCTATAGCCCAGTCGGTGACTTCCCTTCCCTTCCCTTCCCATAATGACTTGCACGATGAATGAGGATACTTTATTCAAGTTGCTGGTCAGGAGGAATTGTTGTTGATATTCTCAAAGTGGAAAGAGAAGAGACGCTTACAAATAGAAACGACCCAGGTTTTTCCGTCCAAGGTATCTCACGATTCGTCTTACCTTACCTACTCATCAAGTCTTCCGCTTTAAACCCAGGAGCTACCATCTTGAGTATATGTAACGTCGGTCAAACTCTACCCACCTTGACGGTTGATGATCTCAATTTGAAGCAGAATAATAGAGGTGTACTAGGTTTCTTCATGGATGAATCCAAGAGGGATAGTTGTGTTATCGATGGTGTTTTCTTAGTGAGTGAATGATCCATCTCTTATCACTCCGTCCAATACCTATCACATGATGATATAACGAAGACTACATGTCTCTTACCCTTTCTAATCAAGAGAAGACTCAGACTGATAGAGAAGGAAGGACAAATTCGATATCCAGAATACAGATGGGTACATCAATTCCCAGGTCAGTCTTTCTTCACCCTTATCATACCTTCCCCCTCCCTTCACTTATCACTTGTCGTCGATTGATCAATACTAAGGAGGATTAGAGTTTGAAATTGTTAACTTACAGGTTTGGTACGGAATGAAACCTTTGACGTTGATAAATTCCCTTTCCCTATAAATTGGGTATTTTGGATGGCTTTACCATTCTCACCTAACCCCGATGGTTTCGCTCCTAATCCTATCAACGTGAGTTTATCCCATTTTCCCTTCAGATATTACGCTGATCCCTTTTTAGCTCTTACTCGACAAGGATAAATACACCGACCACTTTTATAATCGTAAAAACAAGGTGATCCAACCTGGTGATTGGGCCAAGAACGGGGATAACAGGAAAGCGTTATGGGAAAAGTTGGTAGGGATGGTATGACCCCTTCAAGCTGCCAGTATGAGCTGTCTCTTTCTGAGGCAATCGGATACATGATCTTGATGGTATGACAGGTTTATACTATCTAACTAGTGGGCATATGGTTGTATATGCAGGGTGAAGATGATATACCCCGATGTGGTTAGCGTTCTCTACCAACGTTCACTCCATCAAATTTTACATTTTTACATCTTTTCCATCTTTTACCTCTCTCCATCTCTACCTTCACTCTACTCGCACTCCCCCAACTCAGTATAAACACTCCCTTCTGGATCCTATCGACAGCCGTAGAGGATATCTTTGGTCAAAAATGCCAAACTACTGCGATCATGCAGACGAAGAATCATCATACGATATCCCACTCCGTGAACCTGATTCAGACCCAGAATCTATACCTTCTTCTATAGACTCTCGTCCTCCTTCCCCTACTCCAACTTACTCTCCCCCCTCACCAGGATACGTGGAGAAACTATACACTTCGACTCAAGGACGTAATTACACATTACGTCTTTATCCCCACGAGTTACTGGGGAAATTTTACGAATGTGGGTATTTGAGTGTGAAGATGGATATGAACGGTCAAAACGACGTATTGGATGGAGGGAAAAAGTATGAGGATCATGAGTTACTCATCGATGGGGAATACATCTTGAGGGTACAGCAGAGAAAGTTGGAGAAGTGGTTTAAAATGTATAAACAAAACAAGGTGGGTTGACTGTTTCGTCTTTTCATGTTGATCCATGCACCATGCACCATGGTGATATCAACTACATTATCATTTTACACTTTCTCCCCTCTTCTCAAAAGAGCTTTGGATCTCATATTACCGCTACTATAGTGATATACACTACCAACATGTTCAAGATGTTCCAACCACCAGACAAAACCTGCCATTCAACCACCACCATACTACACCGCTCAATGTATCCTTTACGGTCTACCTCATCCTAAATCAGAACAATCAGCGTTCGAAACTCTCCGAACAATCTGTACTCCACCTGATCCACCTAAGAAACAAAATCAACAATCTAAAAAAGGTAAAAAAGGTCAACAAAATCAAATCCCTCCAGCTCCCTATGGCTCCCCTCCACCTCCGAAACAAGCACTACGGATCCCGGACCGTTTGGAAAAGTTCGAAGAGGAAATGGACGAAGAATTGGACAATATATGGGCCGAAGCGAAAGAAGCTGCCAGAAAGATCAAGGAGAAGAGAGTGATGAGGAATAGGTTGGAGGCAAGGAGAAGCGGGAAGAGGGAAGGGGATGAATTGGCGAAGAGCAGAAAGAAAGATTGGAAGAGTTTTTTAAAACAAGCCGATGAGGAATTGGGAAAGGGTTGGAGGTGGCCCGAGGGAGAAGCGAATGAGCAGGTAGAGAAGGATCAGACTGGGATGGATGTTACAATTGGAGAATCGTTCGCCGTGGAAGGTGGTGAGAAGATTAAAGCTGGTGAAGAGACTGGGGATGCTCGTATTGGTGATAAACGTCCTGCTGAGGAGAGTGAAGGACTTGAATCGGGTCAGGAGAAGAAGCTCAAAGGTGAAGAGGTGAGTTCCGCCTCGGATTAGTCCAACGTGCTAGAGGAAACTATTCCACATATACGAAATTCACAGATACTCCCTATTTTCCACAACTCATAGTTGAGAGGTGGTCCTGTTGCTCTTTCACAAACAAGACGAATTTCGCATGCTAATACAATACAGCTCGACATCTCTGAAATCTCCACAGATTACCTCATGTGTCGACTCGGTTTCTTCTCCCCATCCGGAAAGAAGATTCCAACTCCTATACCAGACGAAGAAGTTGAAAACGCCCATTATCGTAAATACACATTCGACACACTTTCTTTATCCCTAACACGTAAAAACGGTTTCATGGGTAATTTAGAATCCGATCTAATGGCACAATTTCATTTCGAAACGATTCCTAAACGTGTAGGAGAAACCATACGTGTTAGTTGGAGAGGTAAGAATTATTATATGAATTCTTTTCCTGATCGTGATGCACCGGAAAATGAATTTGGTTTTTTCGTCGGTCATACACCTAAAGAAGAAGAAGCTACAAGTGGTAAATTTACATTTTTAGGAAAAGGTTGGTTAAAAGGTGAATTCGGTATACCTGGTATTGGTATTTCTAGGTTTATAGCTAGACCTTGGAGAGAAAATGATTGTAACAGGAAACATAAACATACGATTGGAACGAGGTGGAAACCTAGAATGTTGGGGGTTAGATATTGGGAAAGGATTTATAGATGGTGTGCTGATCTTGAAGAGAACGATGAGAGGTTGGGTTGTTTGGATGATTATAGATGTTATCCTGATAGATGGAAGGATCAGATGGAGGAATGTGATAGTTTGAATTCTAGTGAAGAGGATCCGGATGAGGATTATGGTTTGAGACCTCATCATAGGGGTACCAGAGTGCATTATATCAAGGATGGGGAGGGGGGGAGTGATGATGGGGAGGGAAAGGATAAAGTCGGGGAGGCGGTGATTAAGGATGAGGAGGGAAAGGTAAAGGAAGAAGAGGTTGAGAAGATGAATGATGTGGAGGGACTGGTCAAGGAAGAGGAAGTGGGAAAGAAGGAGGAAGGAGAGGAAGATAAGAAACCAGATGTGGAAAACAAAGAGAACGTCAAGGTAGACGTCAAAGCAGAGGTCAAGGTGGAGGGTACGGCGTGAACGAACTCGACCAACTCTTGCGATGTTTACGAGGAGAATGTGGATACGTTCGGTGAGTGGAATGAAAAGCTATGGTCATGTGGGATGGCCTGTTCTGTAAGGAGAGAAAGGGATGATATCTATGTGTCAGAAAGATATCTTGTGTAGAAATCGAATCATCTAGTAAAATCATCTACAAAAATATGTCCAAATTGTGAAGAGATGTATACAATTTGTGCAGCCCCCCTCCCCTTCCCTTTCCCATCCACAATCCTTCGACCTCGTCTACCACACTACTTACGAGTGCTCCACAGCCGAACAACTCGAGGGTCTACATCGTCATAGTCATCATCCTCTGGCAAAAATCGACATGTTCCTTCGATATGTTCCATCAGACTACAGTATTACCACCGGATCATCTCACATGGCCGGAGAAAGAGTCGATATGACGCAACATCTCCGGATGATATCGTTCGGTCATGTCCGAAGATGATAAGATCATGTCACCTAATCATGATTTTCATCGTGGATTCCATACCACCACCGCTGTTCCGACTCTCCCCCTTGTTTACTTCTCGACATTTTGTGCATACCCCAGTTGGGAAGACCTCGGTGCAACGTGACAACTATGTACCCAAGTCGGGCGAGATAGGGGGAGAAATACTATATAATGAATAAGCTACTGGATGATAGGGATAAGGAAAGACCGACGGGACGGAATTCGAAGTCTTCGGAAGATGTGTCACTCTCAACTCCGACCGCACCCCCGTCAGTAAAATCGATTGCGATGGAAACGTTCGATGAGAGGATGCTCTCAAAATCGAAGGGTGTGGGGCAAATGTCCAGTCAAACCAAGACAGTAGGTGGACCAGATCCGAATCCGAATACAACCACTCTTGCACCTTTTCACCCCCCTAAATCCACTGTATCATCCTCCACTGAAACTAGAACATCGCTTGTAACTTTTGGAGATCTGGATAGACCCCATGACACACCACAAACATCTCAGAGGGAGACAAGAAAGGAAGAAGCCGGTAGGGACTTGGGAAATATTACACCCTCCGATGTCCCTATTGCCAACAAGAAGTCGCCGCCGTCAGGAATGAAGCTCCCGGAGAAACTTGATGTAATCGACAAACCTGGAGAGATGGAGGAGAAGGAAGGAATGACTGGACTTACTGGAATCACCGGAGTATCCGAAACGAGTGGAATGGAGGAAGTAAGGACGGAAGAAGATGATATGCCCGATGGTGGATATGGATGGGTCATGGTCATTTGTTTCATGGTCATTAACGCTTTTACATGGGGTGAGTCTTTCCATAGGGGTTTGTATTCTTCGTCCTCCATTCTTGGACAACCCTTCGGTTCATGGAATGGTTTTAGCTGGTAGATTGAATTACACACCCTGTGGACAGATGCAGGAAATTTTCCCTAGTGATACAACGAAGGGGGTGCAGGGGATGGTGGTATCTGTCGATGGGCAGGAATCAACTGTGGGGATATTGGTTCTCTATATTCATCATTGGAACAATATGGTATATCATTCCAGTCGAAGGAACGTGGTATTACCTATGGAAAGACCAGGGAAAGAGGAGGACAAGAAGAGTGACATTCAGCAAACACCGTATTTCGTTGGAAACAATAAAGAATTATTCACGAAATAAGAGCACGGGTGCTGAAAGATCAGGTGCAAACTCTGCATATGGAGTATTCGAAGCTTATTACCTCAAAAATAATTATTACGCAGGTGGTACTACATTCCGATACGCATGGGTAGGAGGATTACAAGGTTCTTTAGCTATGTTATGTTCTCCTTTGGCCAATACGTTGATGAGGTTTATAGGACCTAGAAATGTTATGTTGATTGGTGAGTTTATTTTTCTTCATCCTTCCCTCTCCCTCTTCCGCTCATCGCTTTCAACACTCGACTTTCTTCTTTTATTGAATCAATTCATACTGCAATCTTTGTTGATAACCCTTCGATTATTGATTCAATTCATACTACAATCTCTGTTGATAACCCTTCGATTATTGATCATCTAACAACCCCCCGATGATTGATTATGCTTTCCACCACTCACGATATCATTTAAACAAATACCTGAGGGTCACATTTTAAGGTCGTATCGTATGTTGGGGCCTGGGCTTTCGTTGTTGGGTTTTCAGTTCTCGCAATTTCCGTTTACCGTGACCTTCCTTCACACGATACATTTTTCGCTCAAAGGAGTCATCAGGATGTACGGATATGAAGTATGAAGCCGATTTCGAAATACGAACTAACATGCAGGAACCTTCCTTGCTGCTCTTGGACAATGCATGGCAGGTGTATGTCATACTTTCGTCGGATTCGTCTTTTGTCAAGGGGTGATCTTTGGTCTCGGAGCGGGTTTAGTGGGTCTCTTCAGTGTTCACCTCATCATACTTACTCTACCTCCTACTTCCTTCTCTCTGTGCTTCCTAAAGATTGCCATGTTGTCACCACGGTCAGTCTTGAGACAGAACGCCTTCAGAGATCAGAATGGGTTGGCGGTAGGTAGGCAGACAGGCGTAATGTAATGTTATGGTATGAGATATGAACTATCATCACTGTCTGTTGTGTGTGATAGTTTACTGATCACTTAGGTACTTATCCCTTCTCAACCTTTGTTGGCACATTGGTTCAGACGTCGTCTCGCTTTGGCCCAGGTGAGTCCCGCTTCCCCTCTTTCCTCTTTCCTCCCTTGACTTTTTTCTCCATTGACTCTTTCATCCATTGACTCTTTCCTCTGTCCCGCAACTCTTTCCTCTGTGTGAAATATCCACTCTCCTCGCTGGTACATGTTCTCTCTCCTCTGTATCACATATCATCCTCCAGCTCTCTTACACTCCTCTATACTAGAGACAAACGCCCTCTGTTCTTCCTATCCTCTGTTAAAACCTCAACCATCCCACAAGTACTATCCACTACTCTGGAGAAAAATACACCAAGAAATGTCACGAGACCGGAAGACGTGACTGGTACAAAGGAAAGATTGCTTACTGACTCCCAGGGTTTCGGCAGTTCTGGAGTAGGTGTAGGAGGGTTGATCTTATCCAACACCACCAGAGCCGCTCTAGACTCTCTAGGGGTCCGTTACACTCTCATTCTAAACGGATTGTTATGTTCCGCACTCACCATCCCCGCCGTGTTGATAATCCGTGGAAGACATGAACAATTAGGAGCGAGGAGTCAAAGTTTAGAACTCAAGTGGTTGGCTCATAAAGGTTTCATATGGGTTTTCATTTGGGGTTCCATGACGAGTGAGTTTCCTTTTCCCCCTTTTTTTTTGAATCTTTTTCTTTTACTTCTAATTGACTTATCAATTACCAATCCCTGATTCCCTCTTCCAACTTTTCCCCTGATACCCACTTCCTAGAGAAAAAGGAAAAAAAAAAAGAGAATTAATTGAAAGATGGATGTAATCACTTCACTTGAGATATCATCATATTAGACAAAGACAAATACAAATATAATATAAATTTATCAAAACTGATTCCAAGTGTTAGCATATTACGTGACACTCTACTCCATACCATCTTACGCCACATCGGCCTTATCACTCACTCAAAAACAAGGTGCAGCTCTTCAATCAATCCTCTCAGCAGGTCAAATGATCGGTAGACCAACGGTCGGTTTAAACTTAGATCGTTTCGGTAGAATCAACATGACGATACTAGCATATATAATCTCTGGTATTTCATGTTTAACCATATGGTTACCAGCTCGTTCATTCTCCGTTTTAGCCGTATTCGCTTTGATACAAGGATTAGTAGGTGGGACAGTTTGGTCAGCCGCAGCACCTATCATAACGAAAGTCGTCGGTATACAACATTTAGGTTCTGCTTTGGGTATTTTTTGGTTAGGTTTAGTACCTCCTAGTTTATGTGCTCAACCTATCGCTATTGCCTTGTTGGAATATTCTAAAGATCATTTAGGTAAACAAGGTCCAGAAGGGTATTATATTTCTATTGGGTTTGCTGGTGGGGTCAGTTTGGCCGCAGCGGGGATTTTGTATGGTTCAAAGGTTTATCTACAAGGGAATTGGAAAGTTTTTGTAAAGACTTGATTGGGTGAGGGTGGAGTTGTCATTCTTATAGTATAGTAATACTTCACTCGTAGGGGTACAATCACGGTCTCTCAATTTCGAGTGATACCGTACATCAAGTGGCGAGGACCATATGTACCGTACAACAAAGTCATGTTGGTGATGAGGTCAAGAGGAAGTGAGATTACACGGGAAGAAAGGAACGAGAACAAATGAGCAATATATAGATGAACAATGCATGTAGGGTAAATGCAACAACAATGATTCTTCATGTTTCCGATCATGTCTGGTGTATATTGTCTCATCGGGTCATCTTAGTTCATATGGGTGAAATCGTTTCATATCGTCAATCGTCATGTTTCATAATGTCTCATCGGGGTCGAAAGGGTCAGCGAGTGGATCGGTATATTATGGAACGCGGAAAGGGCCATTCGTTTTTTTTTTTTTTTGACACACTTTTTTTTTTCTTGAGGGTGGAGAATGATCTTCTTCTCCCTCTATCTCAGTCAATATTGCAGATATCGAGGTGATCTCTTTTGAGATTTACTCAGCACACATGGATGTATCATTTGGTACTACTTAGATGCATGCAAACAGCCTACATCAGACGCTTGAAAAATTAAGCCCTCTGTAAGGACAAAAACAGCTTTTCTCCATCTTCTGTTTCACTGAAGGTAGCTGTATGCATCAAGTTGCTACTGTAGGTGGATTCATCATACCTAAAGCCGTCCCAGGTGTCTTCAAGCCTCAAAGAACACCATGGAAGAGGTGAATGATGATAAAATGAGGTTTTAATGATGTTGGGGGGTGCTGAGAAGAAAGTGCCACATTGGTTCGACATTTACCCCGGGGCCCCACACTCAAAAAGCGAAGTAGGTAGATCTTCACCCCAAGATGACTTGAGAGCTTCATACTGCATCAGATGGAGCATAAAGGTGTCAAGAGTGCACCCTCCAATTTTCAAGACTGTAGCTGCATGCATGGTGGACTTACAGGGAGAAGAAGTTCTGAATATACCACCTGAAAAAAAAATCCGGGTGAAAAAGAAAAAAAATCGAATGGCCCTTCGCGCGGCCCATAGTATATCGTTCGTTTGCGACAATCGGATCGGCTGTTTGATGATGGAATCGTGCAAGTGGGACAGAGGGGAGGCTCGAGAAAGCGGGGCAAGATCGAACATCGTGATCAATCATATATCGGCAAAGGCAAGATTTTGTCAGACTACCATGTCAATAAACTGTTTTCTTACACATGACGGACTAACGTTGAACAAAAAGTTGTTGGCTAAATCTTCCGCTTCGAGGAATCGAGTAGGGTAGATGACTGAGTGTAAGCTACGACTCTTCCTCTCCTTCTCATAACTCCCCCTGATGAGGTCAAGTCGTCGACCACAACACTGAGCTTCGCAGTAGACATACGACGATGACGCATCACTCCCGATTGACAATGGATGAGATACGTAGGATGTTCCACAGAGTGGGCGTCCACACTCCGTCTTCGAGTGTACTAGGTAGAATAGATGAGGGCATGAGGGTCAGTGGGGAGAGAAGGAGAGAAATGAGTGAACAGAGAAGGAAAGAAAAGAACAATGGACTCACCCAAATGCCCCCGGACCTCATTCAACAACTCTTCCATCTCTTTCACCTCCCATTCATTCCACGCATCATCCGGACCACTAGGTTCCCTTCCCGGATCTGCATGACTCGTATCACTCCCTCTTCTCTCCTCATCACCACCAGACGTAGCAGCGGGATCCTTCTCCCTCCCACCGACGTCCCCACCGACCACTTCGCTCGGTTCTCCACCTTGCCCTTCTTCACCCACATGTCCACCGCCTGACCCTCCACCACCGGCCCCATGAGTCCCAGGTCCATCATGCACCACTTTCACCGGTTCTGCATGTCCTGGACCGGCCACATCTTCAGGACGACGGTTGAACTTTTCTGCGTGACTGGCGAAAGCTTTATATGCCGCCCAGGAGGTGACGAGGTCGTCAGGCTAAGTGTCAGATACTGCGCATATCAAACGGAAAGGGTTGAGAAAAGTAAAAGATTTTACTCACCACGCATCGGAACACCTTGCGGTAGATTTCAGTCTGTTCATCAGCTGAGATGTCCTTGCAAGGGTGAGACTGCAGAAACCACACCAAACTCACATTGTGCACAGCCACCGCCACCCACATATCCTTCCAAAACGTCTCTTCGAGGGGATCATGAAGCCTGTTCGGGTTGATTTTCGGCGTAGGTGTAGGCATTGACCAAGGTGAACTCGTCACTTTGGCTTCTAGATGTCTTCTGAGTGTCCTTCTAGCGTCCACTTGTCCGCCTTTCCCATTCTCTAAATCCTCATCTGCATCCTCACTATCTCCATCGTCCGCCTCGGCAGGGTCGGAAGTTATAGTGTCTGGTTTTACCGAAGTACTCTTGGTATCCTTGCCGGAAGCAGTCTTCTCCGGTTCTTCCAAATCACCCCTAGAGTCTTTCCCAGAAACATTTGTACGATCCACTTTCGCAGTACCATTTCGACTCGAATTATCCCTCTGGCCATCGCCCGAAGCGTGATCAGAAGTACTCGTGTGATCGTTCTTAGACGAACCTTTCCGAGTACCAGATACACCCTTTTGAGATTCATCAGAACCGCCCGTCCCCTCAACTTTTGCCGGAGTTCCAAACACGTCCCCTTCATCATCACTCCTCACTCTCGGCACTCCACTCTCATTACCCTCACCATCCACCGTCTCATCTTTCTTCGCCCCTTCGGGAACTTTCGCCTCCGGTGGCGGTGATCCAGCTTGACCCTCCTCGATCAAATCAAACAACGGAGTTCCATTCGCATGTCTCGCCGAAGGTCTTCTCTCCATGATAGTCTTTTCCTCTAAAGTGGGTACGACGGAACTTGCGAAACCTTCATGCAATCCGTTTTCATCTGTATCCTCTCTTTCTTCCGCTGCACCAGCACTTGAACGTGCCGTTTGACCTTTGACAGCGGCAGAAAGAGGATGTATAATTTTATTAGCACCTTGTCGAACTTCCGCTGCTACTCTCTCGCTGACACCTTTGGTCAAACTTGATACACCTGTTTCAAACGTTCTCGCAAGACGATCTTTAGCAGTACGTCTTTTGACCGTAGTGATTCCACGCGTGATGTCTTCATCTTCTTGTTCGTGATCCGGATCCCAAGTTTCGATATCTTCATCTTCCGCTATAGGTTTACGTGACATGAGTTGATCTTCTTCTATAGAATCGACATCTACGCCGACGTGTTCACGCATGAGACGCATTCGTAGTGTATGAGCGAAACGTCCAACTTTGAAAGGTTTACCACCCATGGTACTATCGACCATATCTGTGTCTCTCACCACAGCCACCAATTCCGAATCCCTATCACCTCTCTGACTCCTTTCGTTGATATTGGCCGATCCACACAAAACCAACCTATCATCCACAATCATGGTTTTCCCATGTATGTAAACCTGTTCCGTGGTCAACGTCCCACTCTTGAACTTTGCCCATCCGCGGAGGGAAAAGAAGGTAATATATTCATCCGGATCGATGCCTTCTTTTCGTAGACGGGAAAAGATGCTATGGGTGCCACGAGAAATGGTACGGTTTTGGCATTCGAGGATGAGTCGGACGGAGGATGCCTTGTCCGAGTCGATGGGAAAAGTGTAGCCTGGTAATAGAGGGATGACTATGCACGCTCGCCATTTGGTGCCTTCTCTATGAGCCCGGATAGCACGCTCGACGAGGGCGTCACCGATACCGTTTTGGATACGCACTCCGTCCACGACGGTGGAGGTGATGAAGAACTGGTTCTCGATGTAGACGAAGTGTTCAGAGAGCTCGATGGCTGAGGTCAGTCGGACAGCTACATGTAGACCGATCAGATCGTGGCGTGAGGAGCTTGGTACTGGCTGGGGAGTAGACCCAGTCAGAAGAGGGAAAAAAAGACTAAGATCGTTGGCAGGGCGAGGAGGCTGACGTAAAAGTGTTGCAGACATGACAGAGAGGGCGAAAAGGGGAGACAAAGAGAATAGGATAAGGGAGATTCAAAAGGGCAGCGTTATCTTAAGTAACGTCAAGGAGAAAAAGGGAAAACTCACACTTGCAATAAGCGTTCTGAATCGAATGTTCAATCTTTGTCAAAGTGGACATTGACCATGGTCCCACGGATCGACAAATCTGAACTTCACACGTTCCTTGCAATTGTAGATCTCCTAATTCTCTATCTGTGAAATCGGGTGGAGGGAGGAGAAAAGGCATTTGACGTTTGTGATTCTGCTCGTTAGTGACGTTATCATTTCAGTCTCTGTCCCTCCACCAGGAGTGTCGAGCAAAGAGCGCTAGCTGAAGTACTATAACGGCCGATAGCTCTGTATCAATAGAATAACTGGGACATTTGAGACTGTTTTCGGCTGGTGATGGAAGTGCCACGCATCCTCCCTCCTACGACGTAAAGTCTTCTCGAACATTTTTAAGCAGCTTTACGGATGGAGAGAGAAAGGAGGAGCATGACGAGTAAAGTACAGTGTACCACAAATCCCATTGCGATCGAGTCAGAGAGACTCTCGAAGAACCCGGAGCTCTGGAATCGACATGAGGAGTGACGGATGATGAGATGAAGGAGAAGAGGGAGGAGGGGAGGGAGGAGGGAAGAGAGGAGGGAAGTGAGGGGTAAGTAAGGGGTAAGTAAGGGGAGAGTGACGTATGAAATGGAAACATAGGAATAAGAAGTAGGAAGAGAGAATTCTGACCCACCTTCGTCCTAATCAGCAAATTCCACCTCTGAACGAAATGTCTACATAAATCCCTAGCTGGATGTCCTACCAATTGTAATCCAACATCATGCCAAGGCATCCTTGGTACACTAGTCCTATCAAACATATCTTCAAAAGGTTTATCTAAATTTGAATATTCCATGACTCTTTCATTGGAATAATCTTTTCCTCTCCATACAGGACCATCTGGACCTTCTTGAGATGAATGATCTTCATCAGTCAAGACGTGTTGAGATGTATCCCATCTACCATAACATAAATCTAGACCACCCATGAATGCTATAGTTTCATCGATCACGCAAAGTTTTTCATGGTGAGACCAGTAAAAAGTACCCGTTTGGAAATGTGATGGAGAACGTTGGACTAGGATGTTTGGATGAAGAGAAGAGAGAGTGCGCTTTGCGTAAAGGGAATCTACGGGTGTGGTTTTATCTGATACTTCGTTACTGTGTATCAGTGGTGTTATCTGACGCCATAGGCCAGGGTGATCAACATGGGACATTGTCGGGTCAAGAGGTAGCAAAGGTCACTCTGACATATGGGAGTGACCAGGAGACTCGAAAGGACCGTCAATGGGGGGAGATGCTTTGAGCGAAGGACTTAGGTGGGGACGGTACAGGAAGATGACGTGGTAAGAGGACAAACATAGGCGTAGGGGGGGAGTCGGGACAGAGAGAAGACGGCGAAACAAGACAGAGAATCGACGGAAACCCACTAGATGATGATGAAAATCTTCACACCCTCCTCTGCCTTTCTCTTCAAAAGATTATCCAACCTATACCTCTCATCACCAGGTCTACGTAGATACAATTCCGGACTGATCCACCAATCATGTATATAAATCCTATCTTTTGCCATATTCATAGCTCTACTCAAATTCCAAAAATAATCCCTTCCATCAACCAACCATTGAGCCGCAACGTTGATACGTAAAGGAGCGAAAGAATCGAATCGATTCCTTCCTGACCAAACGCATTGAGCGGCTATACGTTCCATTGAAACTATGAACTGATGCATTTGTCTCGCGTTTCGAGTGACGAGTTTAAGTTTACGTTGAGAATTTACGATGAAGAATGTATGTTGAGAAGCATCGTTTTCCCTTTCGTCTTTCATTTCTTCCGCTCGAGGACCTTTACCTTCTCCTGATGCTGCTATGATATCTTGATCGTGTGGGTTTTCAGTATCAACGTGGTCTATGGCTCCTGCGTCGGATGTAGGGTCGTGTAATTTTCCCTTCTTCTGAGATGACGATTTCTTGGGAGATGACGATGGTTGTGCTTGAGGTTTGGGAGGAGACGGTTGAGAAGGATGGTTTTGTTGATCTTCAGAATCAGAAGAATGTGAAAAATGACCAGGATGAGAAGTATCACCATCATGATGATCGTGATGTAATTTGGAATTTACCAAATTCCTTCCTGATAGAAGATTGAATCCAGTCCTATATACTCTTTTAGGCCGTTCAATGGCGAAATCAGAATCGATCAAGAACACATCGTATAATTCCAATGACTCTGGACCGTCGGTAGCGACGAAGTACGAATCTCGCACGATGAACCACTTAGGAGAGCGATTATGGATCCAAGATGTGGGTGTGAGGCCGGGTTGGTTGGCACGACGAGATGTGTTACTTCCCGGTAGTCTCAGAAAGCCCGCTTTTCCTTGGAAGCCACCACGAGGAGCGAGGGATACGGTGAGAGCGGAGAGTTCAAAGAATTTACAGAGACGGTTAGATTCTGGACGGAAGATCTACACTCAGCACGGGGACTGGTGCAGTACTCTCCCCAACCTCAGTCCTCTCCCAGCCTTGGCCAAAGACACATGGAGACCAAAAGTTGAAGTGGATAGTGGGTGTCAAGAAACGGTCTGGTGGAGGGGTGATATGTGAACCACGAGGTAGACATAAAACTGAAATCAGAGGATGAGGTGAGAATGAAACAGGTACCAAGCAAGATAAGGAGAAATGAGCGAGTAGGAGTTGGGAAACCTGGAAAACTCACCACAGCACGTATCAACTCCACCAAATACTTTTGCAAAGCACCTCTACTAGCTTCGGCATATTCCGCTCTTCCCCATTTCTCACCCTTTTCACTTTTCTCCCATCCCAGTCTATTCAAATAAGGTATACTCATCTTTGGGAAATCCGGTATTTCAACCCCTCTACTAGATCTCAATCCTGTGACTTTAGAACCGAAATTCGAAGCTTTGTAATGAGCATGAAGTGAAACGAAATCTCTTAATTCTCTGAAAATCACCCATTTCACAGCCCCATCTCCATATTCACATTCGATTTTGAACATTTCTTTTCCAGTTTGATTACCAGGTTTTAAACCAACACTATCACCCACTCTGAAACGTAAACTTCCAAGAAGAACAGGGACGGCACGATGGCCATCTTCGTCCCTGTCCAACCATGTTTTGAGCATCATCACTGGTAATTGACCGGCGAAGAGTTCGGTGGCTATTGGTACTGATGCGACGGCTGTAGGGGCGAGGGCTGTAACTTTACCAGGGGTGGGATTTGGTCCGGTGCTACTTCGATGAGGAAGAACTCTTGATCGTAAAAGAGACCATTTGTTCTGCGCATGTTCATGGGCGTCGGCATCAGAATGATATTCTGAGTCATGATCATGGATGTTTTCTCCATGTCCCATCTTCTCATCGGTTGCTCGGTTTTTATGATATCCATCTTCGTCCTGGGAATGGGTCCTGCCATTCGGTTTCTCTCTTCGCTTCTCTCTTGATCCCATGAGGGAAGACAAATAGCCTTCATGATCAGAGTCTGCGTTATGATTCACGTCGCTATGATGTCTTCGGGTTTCACGTCGAGATTTATGTTCGTCATCTCCAGAATCTTCGTCAAGAGGATGTTCGCTCCGATTGTTGTGTGATGAATTCCTATCCCTACTTCTTGTTCCCGTGAGATGCAAACGCGACCTCGACCTCGATCTCGATTTCGATCTCTCCTCACTGCTATCTCTAAACGAACTCCACCTAGATGTTCTATCTCCACCACCGACACGCAAAGCGTCCGTCCATTCCCCTTCTGACACGGTGCGTCCTATGGCTTTTTCGTATTCGTCTCTCTGGATTGAAGGTGACCGAGAGACGACGGGTGTCTGACCAGGTGGATATTCTCGTTCTCCATCAGGGGAGACGGTGAGGATGGAGAATTGAGTGGTGTCACCGGGTAGAGGGGAGTGAGCGTGGTACTGCGAGTAAGTCGTCGATCAAAACATCCTTCTTCAAGTTCACTACCAAAGTGCATTGTAATGAGTGTTGGTACATGAGGACGGACAATGTTGAAGTATGGAGAGATGTCGTGTAATGGGCAGGAGTGCCCGCAATAGCTTCTCTGCAGAGGATCTCCACTCCAGACCGGGGACCGAGTAACAAACGACGAGTTTCAAGCGAGGATGATGAATAGACTATAACTCACCTGGACATGTGATATCCTAGGGTTCATAACGATTTCGTTTCTCGGTCCTGGAGCTTCCTCCTGTTTCACCCTTCCCAACTGTCCTGGCAATCGACCTTTCTCATCTTTAAACCCTCCCTTATCTTCATCTGTTAGACACGCCATCTTCTCCTGAGGAGCTATCCCTTCCCTTTTGGCCTCGTTCCATCCTCCATTACCTCGTGCTCCATTCGTGTGACTGTTAGGTTGGACGTGTCGAGATTGTTGATGATTGGGTTTAGGACAAGGTACATCCCCACCTTCTTCCGTCATATCCTGTCCGCTCTCCTGCCTTCCCAACTTACCTCCGACCTGTTCATTTTCCACTTGGTTGGAAGAAGAATCATTCTTGAGGGACGTAGATGACTCATGACCGTTGGCCTTGCCCTTCCCTTTGTCTCTCGCCCTCTCATGAACCGATCCATCCTGAGCATCTGGCTGATGGTCGTGGTCGTAGTCGTGGTCGTGGTCTTGGTGATTAGGTTCGGGATGATGGTTGTGTTTATGATATTGAGTAGCTTTCTCCCTCAAACCCGTCGAAGGGAGTTGTTTAGAAGACGCGATGGGAACAGAGGAAGAAGAGTCGGAAGTGCTACTCCTCCGTCTATGGAGGTAAGCGCCTACGACAGAGGCCAACCCGCCATTGGAAGAGGCCATTCTGTCGGTGTTGCGAGATGAGAGCGGGTGTGAGGAAGACGGGGGAGGGGAGATAGAGACGTGTCGTATGGATGGATAATGTTGTAGATTGAGTGGACAAGATGATGAGATGGTTGGAGGATGGAAAGAGGTCAAATCGAGGTGAAGGACGTGTTATCTAGATTAAGTAACCGTCCCTAGTAATCTTTCCTTATCTCGATTAGGAATGCGCAGTAGGCATTAGCATCTCGAAACACAGTCCGTCAAGTAGGCCTGCTGCCTCAGTTCATGTGGCAGTGTGGCAGTGTGGCGGTGGGGTCAAGCTTCAGAACCTGACTAAGAGCACGCAACTTCATTCTTCCCCCGAGCCAATTCCCAATACGTTCCTATTCGTATGGGCTCAAAGCGCTTGCTTCTGCTTTCTACCATTTGTTAGTCTGAGAAGAGGAGTCTACATCCGGATTCTCAGTTTGTTCAGAGGATAGCTTCCCTGCTCGTGCAGTATATCAAAGATCCCAGGCCGAACAACATCATGACGGGAGGTGGGATCATTCCAAGTCACACCTGCATTATTTCATCTCATGTATATCATGCACATCTTCACACACTCTGTCCTTCATCCTCGCTTAAAACGTTCAATTCTTATGAAGCGTACCGCTCATCGCATCAAACATATTTGTGTATACTACACCCCGGAGGATCTCATTGTTTTGGATCTCCTTGTAAATCTTGTCAAAATCTTCCGGGGGGAAATTGATTTGGTAAGCAAGCTTGAGGGTAGTAGGGCTACTTATCCCGGTCAGATACTGCCGAGCAGAGTCTACAAATCGCTGATACGATATGTGCTTGGGTCGGGAGCCTTGACCTGGATTTTTTTCGAGGCCACAGTCTTACAGTCAACCACGATGGGAGTGAGTGACACATTCGCCTCAGTGTTCTCTGCGTCTTTGCAACTCACCTGTAGCTTGCATATCAGCATCATTGCCATATCCAACACAGTCTGGATGAGGAGAGACAGGTGTGACAAGACGACGACACTGATGTGTGAGACATACAGTGAAATACCATTCCTACTCCCCCACTTCAAACGTATACTCCATCTTGGGTGAAGGGTCCGTCTGCGGGGGAGGTTCATATGCAGAGTGGTCAGGATGGCCACTCCTACTCCAGAAGGCTCCAAATGACTTCACAATTGAATGCGTAGTAGACTCCTTGAGGAGGTCAGGGCGGCTGTAACGGTCAGGAGACATGGTGTTTTGTTCAAAAAGCCAAGGGAGGTTAGAGAGATGTTCTTGGATGAGAAGATCTTATATCATTTTCCACTCTCTTCAGACTATCTGACCCTACCTTTCTTGATGTAAGCTTCTCACAATCCCCTTTCATCGCGCGTGGGAAGAGATAACTGAACTGGGGAAAAGATGCGTCGCTTTCCACGCCCGATAACTGATCATTCTCGGAGGCTTAATGTACTTTGTGCTCTAGACCGGGTGAGGTGCCGACGGAGATATTTGACTCTACCTTTCACCATGTAAGCGTCTCACGATCCCCTTTCATGGAGCGTGGTAAGAGGTAGAGACGGAGGAAAGATACCTCGCTTTCCAAAGCCCGATGACCACTCTTGCGGACTTACTTTGTAGACCGGGCGAAGTGGGTCCCATGGAGGTATTTAGAATCCCCTGTCCAAACATGACTTTCCCTCCTCGGTAAGACATGAGAAATCTAAGCGACAACAGCAGACGTTAGGTCCCCGTGAACCCTCAAAGTGTCCTGTCTTTAGAGTGTCACCTGACACGCGGACCAGTACGGAAGCATGACACTCAGAGATGAGGGACTAAGAAGCCCAATATTGCTAGTTGTTGGGACGATGCACTGTTGTCGACCTCACCCTTGAGTCGTTTTTCACCTGTCACTCGTGCTTCTTTTTCTCGCGATTCATATGGCATGAGTACAAGTGATGTCTACAAGGAACCAGGGAAAATCTAAACGATCAGTCATCGTTCGTCTGTCCTGCTTCCCCCACTGATCCATGCTCGTTCTTAGGATGTTCCACCTGGGTGTGTACAGGATCAGACGTTGAGTGGGCCTTCAGACTTTCTGTGACACTCCCAAGCATCTCTTCTACTGCTCTTGCAACTATCACACTGAAGAGACCATTTATGGCATCCTCATCAGAGTCAAGAGTCCGCAAAATTGATTCTCGCTCATCTGGGGAGGAGAAACGAATCTTGTAATCGAACTCAGTGGCGCGTGATTTACCTTCTGTAGCTACCTGATCCTGCAAGACGGATTTCAGTTCCGACAAAGAGGTGTGATACAGGACGAGAGCTCTATCTCTTTCCTCAGGTGTTGGCTGTTCCCAGTTGACCGTACGGGGTGCGACCATCACGAGCGGCAGCTCTTGTTCTGCTTGGTCTGTTTGGTGAGTCTCGAGATGAAGCTGGTACATATCAGCTGAAGGCCTCACCAACATAGAGAAGAACATGAGTAGTCAGAGATGATAAGGCTGCTGAGCGGTTCATAGAGTTGTTAACTGATTCAAGGTGAATCGAGATCCGACGAGGTAACGAAAGTGAAACGTACCCTGATATACAATTCCTTCTCATCCTCCCCTTCAAAGAGTTGGAGGAGTGGGGTCTGATCCTGAGACCAAGGACTACTCGTCGTCCACCGTAGATAACCCAATATAATCAGTGTACTTGCTCCGATGACAGAGAGTGCAATGGCTTGCTTCATCATTTCATCTGCAGACATGCTGTTTCATACAAGAGTGAGTGGGTGAAAGCTGACTAAAAATGAAGAAGTTAGCTCTAGTTCTGTTCAGAATACTGTCAAAGCTGAATCTGAATTCTCTGTGCAGCTCTCCCAACCACCTTTGTTCATACATGGGAAGGCCAAATTTAGGCATGAGAAACCAACTTGTTTTTGCCACGTTCAGAATGGCACCCCCCGGGGAGGAAATCTGAGACGGATCCAGATCACCCGTCCCAGCCATCGATCTCCAAGATCATAGGTGAATTTCGTGGTGAACAAAGATACTGTAGTGGGCATCTGGTAAGGCGAACCTCCCTCGAAAGTCATCATGCCCTGCAAAAAGGATGATTTCACATCTGGACATATGGGACGGTCTCAGAGCTTCTCATCTTTCATGTAGGTACATATCATCTCCACTTGACATTAGCTAGACGGGACTCTCGCTGCACTTGCTGTCACATCTTAGGCTATGAGCTATGGAGTAAAATTCCGTGAGACTACCAAAAATTGTGATTCTTGAGTACCATGACTAGAAGCCTGTCATCCCCACACCGGCTGTCTGCACCAACCTCACAATTGATGTGATTCCGCTCTTGAGCAACTTATTCCACGTTGGATGTAGTCGTCGGTTGCAAAAGTCTTTTCACACCCATGATTGTGGTCGTCTTGTCCCTCTCCTGCTGTCCATACTTGACCACCATTCACTTCTCAAACGACCGCCTCAATCGTTTTATGTGGGTTGTGTGGATAGGGGTGAAGCAAATCTTCAAGCTGCAAACTCGGTGTATCCAAAGGTGTGATAGACTTTTCAGTTTGAACCGAACGATATAGTAATGCATAAAGACATGAACGAACGAACAAGAAGAAAAGTTTCAACGCGCATAGCTTATTCAATCCCTCCAACACTCCCACCAAGCTAGCGCTGTTGAACAGAAACTACACAGGTGCCATCAATGCTGATTGGGAAGGACGATAGACCAAGCATTTCTGTGAAATCGAGCAAACAAAGTTGGTGACAAGGGTTTTGTGAGTCCATCAGCAAGCATTGCAGCAGTTTTGACATACTCAATATTGATGATCACTCGTTCAACGACTTCACGAAGATAATGAAACCGAATATTGATCTGTTTGGCTCGAGAGTGACCAGTTGGATTTCGAGCGATGGTGATTGATGCTTGATTATCCCCATAGAGTTTGATTGCTTTCTTGGGAGCAAATCCAAGTTCTGATAAGAGCGAACGAAGCCACATTGCTTCTCGAGCGGCTTGCGCAAGTCCCACATATTCAGCATCTCCTGTGGCAAGAGCAACAGAAGGCTGAAGCTTGGATTGCCAACTGATGGTTCCACCCCAAAGTCTAAAGACATAACCGCTTGTACATCGACGTTGCTCGGTATTGCTCGTGGCAAAATCTGCATCACTAAATCCATCCAGCTCGCTCCCACCATTCACACATCACATATCAATCGTTCGGGTGTGTTTGAGATATTGTAAGACAGAGAGGACTGCTTACCAATGAGTGATAGAGGGGTCACTTGAGAATCGACCAAGCAATCCGACCACATATGCAAGATCCCGTTGAGTTCCAAGCATGGCATACATGAGCAAACCAATGGCTGTCAGATATTGAGCTCAATCGGTCGAGGGTTCTTCAGGCAGGCGAGCATGCAGGATTGTTTTGTCTTTCAGGGGTGTGTCTTTTGGTTTGCAATCTTGCATATTAAATGGTGTGAGGATGGTGTCAATGTACTGAGTTTGGCATAGATTGAGCTGGCGCTTCAATCGATCACGCTTGACTTGTAAACCAAGGATGAAGTGCAGCTCGCCAAGATCTTTCATGTCATATCGCGTTGACATTTCATTCTTGAAGAATTCGAGCATGCTCAAGCGAGATGTAGCAATGGTGAGGTCATCCACTGTCACGACCTGTCCCTAGCAGATCTCTAAGACACAAGAGACAGGTGGACTGAAGTAGTTTACAAGCTTGAGCTACAACAAACAAAGTGTAGCTCGTAGACTTATGACACTGGTCGGACAGCTGAGTGACTTGGAAGGATCCGGCAAGTCGAGATGAGGATGAGGGGTGTTGATATTGAGGAAAGGGCTGTGAGGTCGAGGTTGAGTTGTGAGGTTAAGTTGAGATCTTTAAGGTGTGGCAAGAAAATATATTGATCCTTGAGAAAAAGGATCCTACAAGGGGTTTATATAGACATTCTCCTTGAACAAGTGGTATCTCCAAGTTGTCCTTCTTCCTCCCTCATGTACCATCTGTCTATACCATATGCGTAGACCATTTGCCTATGCCATCTGCCTATGCCATCTGCCTATGCCATCTGCCTATACCATTTGCCTATGCAAATGTTTCTATACCATTTGTATATCCCGTTTGTCTCCTACCACTTGTACTATGCCATTTGGTTACTTAGCATGTACAGTTTGCCCTTCTATCATATGGGTTACGACAGGGTCGTAACATCCACATATACTCCAACAATGATCAGATCATTGAACTGACCTCAAACATAGATTGAGTGATCTGACATTGTTCAAACGAATCCGAGTGAGCGAAGTGTTGAGTCGAGTTTGCGGTACCAAGCTCGAGGTGCCTGCTTGAGTCCATAGAGTGATTTGTCCAGTTTCCAGACCATCTTGTCATCTTGAGCAAACCCTTCTGGTTGTTCCATATAGACTACTTCATCGAGCGAACCGTAGAGGAAGGCAGTTTTTACGTCCATCTGATGAAGTTCGAGATCGTGCATGGCAGCCAGTGTGAGGATCGTTCGGATGGATTGAAACTTGGCAACAGGAGCAAATGTCTCATCATAATCAATGCCAGGTGGTTGAGTGAAACCGCGAGCGATTAGTCGAGCCTTGAACCGATCAAGGTCACCACTGGCAGATCTCTTGATTTTAAAAACCCATTTGCAAGTTACAATCCTGCCTTGAGCGATCGATCGAGGTACCAGATGATAGACCTTTGCCTTTTGAAGAGAATTCATTTCATCCTGAGCAGTTCATTTCCATTGCTTTGAGTCAAACAATCAGATGCTTCTTCCCATGAACGAGGCTCAACGACCGAGATGCGTGCCGCAAAGGCAGCGAGCGAATATGGTGAGAGGGGATTTGGCCCTTGAGGGAGTTGAGCATCTGAAGGAGAAAAGTCATGGTCGCCCGGTCAACCAAGGAAATTGTTCAGCTCGATCTCGTAGTCTGGTGTCACAGATGTTGTTTCTCCTCTTCTACTGACCAACGGTTGACAAACCTCGGCTAACTTCGTTGAACTAGGGCGTTGTTGTCTCACTGAGACAGGGTACTCGTTGAGGAACTGCGGCTAACTTCGCCACAGCGGGTCGTCAAGTGACAAACAATAAGGTGATCGTTGGGGAACTGCGGCTAACTTTGCTGTGGTACATTGAACTGCTAGGTGGTAGCTCTCCTTAACTCGTAGGTGTAGCTATTGTAGGTGTAGCTATTGAATATATCTCTTGCTACTGACAACAATCAAGGATCACTGAAGAACTTCAGCGACCTTCTCAACTAATAGTATCTACCTCTCCTAGACGTTCATCCAACTCTCCCACACTTAGACGTCCTTCCATGCACTTCGGCTAACTTCCCCTAACCACCACAACCCATTTCTCCAACCTCGCCTAACTTCGCCTTACTCCTGGGCTCTCAATCCATAACTACCCTAACTTCGTCTAACTTTGCCATACCTCTGTTCCCTTCACCCTTAGCCTATCTAACTTTGCCTAACTTTGTCATGGTTGGTCTCAGATGTCCTAGGGTAAGTGTAAACTGGCGAGGTTGACAAATGATGGAGGTTTAATGGTCAAAGGAGGGTCGTTGTTGGTGGGATTTAGGGGTGTCACAACGTAGTTTGTGACACCTGGGTACTGGGAGACAAGACCAAATGTTCGACCCGGGCGAGTTTGCTTTTGTTTGGGTTGACGATCTTCCAGTTTGGGTGAGGGAGCATGCTCTCAAGCAAACCGGGGGTCTTCCTCATATTGCCAACCAGGTAATCGAGCCAGTTCGTTCGTTCGATTTTGCCCTTCACCTCCCACCAATTCCTCTCTTCCTGCCCTCTCTCCATCTCCCACCTGTCCTCCTGCTCCCACCACTTCTTCATCTCCCACCACTTCGAACGCATCGAACGGGCTCGAGATGCTCGAAGTACCTGATTCTAAAGTGGGTTCAGGTTCAATCGATCTTGTTTTAGCACCAAGCTGTGTGTCAAGTAGAAAGAGCTTGTTCAACTCAGCGAGCAAAGGAGATGAGCAAAGCATCCTCTGTGGTGAAATGGATTCATCGAAGATGACATCGCGCGAGATGATGACCTTTCGAGCGAGTGGATCCCAGAGTCGGTATGCCTTCTGAGTGAGAGCATATCGAAGGAGACAGCACAAGGTTGCACGAGGTTGAAGTTTACTCTCTTGAGGGCTTTTTTGAACGAGCACCCAAGCCGCACATCCAACAACTCTGAGTTTGGATAAGTTAGGCTTGATATGAGCGAACATCTTGAGTGGGGTCTCATTTTTGATCAAGCAAGATGGTGATCGATTCTTGAGATACACAACAATCGTCTGTTCAACATTAGTTCCATTCGCTCGCTCTGCTACTCCATTCTGCTGAGCAGTGTAGGCAGCTGTGGTTTGGTGCTCTACTCCGAGCGATGCAAGATAGCTTTCAAACTCCTTGCTTGTGAATTCTCCCGCATTGTCTGAATGAAGACACTTGAGTTTCCGCTTGCTAACTCGTTCTACTCGAGCGAGCCACTCATTGAATTGACCGAATGTAACTGGCTTTTGAGCGAGAAAGAACGACCAGGTATATCTCAAATGATCATCCACCAGTACCATCATATATTGTGCTCCCCCATCCGAGCGAGCTCCCATTGGTCCGCAGAGGTTGGTGTGAACAAGGTCTAGGATAGCTTTAGCTCTTGATTCACTTGGTGGGAAAGGAGGGCGCACAATCTTCCCCATAACACAACCTTCA